CAAGGACCCTACTGATAGCCAGCAAAAAGCAATAACTTGAAATTGGTGTCATATTGAACCTCCTTCTACAGAACAGTGGGTGGAAATTGTAAGACAAATTTATATACTAGAAAAAATGAGTTAGTAGGTGACAAAAATGGACGATATGTGATCCAGTGGAATTGACATGAATGCATGGACACTGCAGTCCTTAAATACATCCATTTGATAAGGGTTTTGCAACCGCTCAAAACTTTTTTTTTTTTTCCTTTTTGATGTTTTTCTGATTGTAATGTTCTCTTATTATATTCATCTTTGTTAATTTTGAAAGAAACTCAAACATTTAAGTGTCAAAAAAGAAAAAGAGATGAAGTAGAGGAATGGTTATCTACGTTTAGGTAGTGTTTTTTTTTTTTCTTGTTCATTCCTGCTATGACTGCATGGTATAGACAAAATATTATTGTGATCATACTGCAAGTATTGTTAATACAGTGTCCCTGGCAATATATAAAAATGCATTATGCATTTCAAAGGTTGATTTTCCCAAATTACATGAATACCTTTGTTCGACTAAACATTGATAGTAACACTGGAGTACATCTGGAACTGAAATTGGCCAAGATGCTTAAAGCACACAGTATAAGACATTGGAATTGCTTTGAAGGCTCATTCACTTGTTGCATATTGCGTATTGTATATGAGCCTTGCGAAAGCCAGTATCACAGTAACTATTAAAAGATGTATCTGGTAGCCTACATTCTTTGAACTAAAGGTGCCCAAAAGTATTATTCGTGGGAGCGACATTATAGAAAAAACAATGAATTGTTTTTTTAAAGAACAATTTTTGTAAATGGGAAGCTTTAAATAACCTCCACATACCGTAACATTTCTATACCACCAGTTTTTCAAATATTCTCCATAAATCTGTTGTTAAGATGTAAACAGAGTCCTTCAGAGTAGGGTGACATGAAAAGGTTAATTGTAGAGAAGCTTCCAATTATCTATACAGTAGTGGTGATAGGAAACAGGGATTACCGTATCCACGACTCAAATACAGCCATTTTATTTAGTATCCAAAACCACTAGTGAACCCACACGTGTCTTGAGGTTTTATTTGTAATGTTGACTATAGTAACGTCTGGGAAAAAAAGTTTTCCTCATCTTCGTCTGGTTCTTATCACCACTGTGAACAATTCTAACTAGATGTGTTTCTCTAGAATTGACAATTTCTCATTAAACAACTCTGATTAAGTTTATATCTTTACAATATAATGATGAAGAATTATTAAGAAATCTGTGAAATTCACTGTTGAAGTCTTTTCCTAGAGCTGTCTGTCCAAGCCAAGAACCATTTAGGAACCCTAGGCTGTGGTATGAAGAGAAATTAGGGCTTCCATCCTGTTCTGCAATAAGGAAACTCCACTTACTGCTTCAGGGAGCAATAATATGATGCTGTGAACAGCATACAGATATTTGCTGCTGCATACATAAACAGGCTGTGTGCTGTTTGCTGGAAATATTTGGTGAGGTAAGGGCTACAGTATGTGCCAAATCACACACTATAAGAAGAGGTTACTGTGCATCTTGTATTAAGATAACAGATCTTAAGATCATAGTTGGTGCTAGTTTCTGTAAAGATATCACGTTCCTAGCTCAGGCATGAGGCAGAAAATGAGACAGTAAAATGGACGGTGTAAACACTCTGGCTCACACAATATGAAGAAAACAAGTCCAGTGTCGGTGTTATTGTGCTGTGCGCTATCACTCTTCTGCTCTGGCACAGTGACTCAGGCGTTCTGAGTATGTGCCTGGAAAAAAAAAAACAAGAAATATCAAACCTGCTTCTTCTCAGCTCTGATAGGCCTGATGCACAGCGCAGAGGATGAACCCTCTCTCTCTTTCTGTTTTCATCTAAATAGTGTTATCGTGTTATTTCTCTCCCTCTCTCTCACACACTATATGTCCCTCTCCCTCTCTCTTTCTCTTTCCTCGCTAGTCCTCAGCTCTCAGTTTTCAGCATCCAGCTTGTGGTCAATTTCGGCTGTAATTTAGCCTCTGAAGCGCACCCATGCCTCTTGACACTGGCTTTTGGAAAATTGGCTATTGATGCTTGCAGCACTTCTTCACTCTCACCGAGGCAATTTTGCACGGCTGTGCGGACCAGCACTCTCCCCAACGTGCCATGAGTGACATGATGAACAGCTCAGGGCTCTGACGCTTTCGGCGCTTCGGTGAAAAAGGGCCTGCGGATGATCGTTGAGAGAAGCGCGAGATGAGCATTTTGGTTCCCTTCGTGGATTCCTTGCGATTTTTAAGCAGCACCGCTGTTTTAGTGCACTTCGATGCGTTTAAGTATAGAGATACGTGGTAGCGAGTGATGGCAGAGTTCAGGGTGCATATTTGTTTGTTTACCTGCCTCCCTGATTGCAGGGCTAGAGGTTGTTTTGCTGTCTTCTTGAGTGGTTTGGCATAAGTGGTTTGGATAAGGTTTTTAAGTAAAAATTGTCTTCTTCACTTCTTGAGCCTTCCAGCTTATCATTCTACGTTTCCAAAATCTTTATGAAGACATCCATTTCTTTCTGCTCTTTATTTCACAGTGCTATAATCTGCTGCTCCATGCAAGGACTGAACACATTGAAATAAAGCCTGTGTGCAAACTAGGGTTAATCTGTTTATAGTCTTTGAATACTCTTTATAAATCAATGTCTCACCCTGAACACTTAGTTATTGGAGAGCTAAATTTATACCGTGGCGTTTCCCACAGACAATAGAGGCCAAATCAATTGAGATGTGAAGTGAGAGATTCTGTTTGAATGGAATTAAAATAAACATCTTAGCTCCATTAGCAATGCCTTCCACTCATTGCTCCAGGGGGAGAGCTTAATCTCCTATAGAAGCAGGAATCTGCTGACGTTTAATAGGGTCTAACAAACACTGCTCTGATAAGGCCTATTGACTTTCATCTGTTTCTGCCTTTTGCTTGTGTATAATGTAGAGAGGCTGACTTGGGTAATATGGGATATCGGCTCGTAAAGCATTCTCTTGTTTTCTTTGCTGCCAGCGCTGGAGTTAGTGAATGGAAACGCTTGGCAAATAAATACAGTGCAAAGACTCATCCTTAGATACTTTATAGTAGAATTATCGATAGTGCTGAAAGTTAATTATAAATATTGCAGTGAATATTGTCTTGAATTTGCAAATATTTTAAAAGACATGTTCATGTACTTTGTATTCTGCTTCTGTTCTTACATTATATAATTGCTTTTTAACTGATAACCATGTGGTACATGGTGGGATTTCTATATAAAATAATGATGTGTATAAATAGAGTAATATTTTTGACTCATCAGTGTGAAAACATCTGACCTCAATGGACTGCTTTAAGGCTACTGCACTCATTCTTGTTTTTCATCACCACATGTTGCTTAAACTTTCTTCTACAGTTAGCTAAATATTTAAGCAAAATTCTCTTAGTTGATTTGCCAGCTCACGCTGAATATTGTAGATCAGGGGTTTTCAGTGGGCGGACTGTGGTCTGGATTCAGACCTTTCCAAGAATTTCCGTGGACTGTACCGGGCAATGGAAATTCTGTAGCAAAACCTGTTAACATATGATAAAAAATCGATTTGTGCTCCGCTTAGTGAAGCAAGAACATTGATGATGAAAACGTAGTGTTTAAAACCTGAATGAACAGACAACTGTGCATTTTCCTCCCCATTTCAAGGTTAAAACTCATGTGTCTCATCTGATCAGAGTCTAATGAAAAATGGAAACGTGCAATACCAGTTACACTGCAAATCCATCAAACATAAAACAATCACTTTAAATTAACCTACCCACAAATTTGAGTTCTGAACGCAAATAAAATGAACCCAAAGTTGAACAAGAAAGGTCGACCAGAGTGCTTGTCCATTCCCTACCAGCACAAGAGCATGAAGTGCTCATTAATTATGATACAAATATCATTATTTATCATTTATTTAGACAGGGTTTTTTCTTCTGTGGACAAATATTTTTAAAGGTATTTGTAAGACTTTTTTTTCTTTCAAATAGCCTTTTGGCCTTGTTTTAAAAGAGACAATAGCCATACAGTTTTGCTGATCAGATTCTAAAAGTGTGTAAAATCTAAATAAATTTCATTGGTGTTAGTTTGTTTATTCAGGCTTTGGTAAGCAAGAAATTTAATGTAATTGGACCTTTTTTACTTGAATGCCCCTGTTATAGATTATTCTGTTTTTATATAATATTAAGAAAAAGAATAAATATTTGTAATGGCAGTGTTATTGAATTTATTGAATATTTGTTGTAGTGCTAACTGTAAATAAAATTATGAGCAATTGTTATTCAAAAAAGGTCATAACAAGCAGCAATAATGACCAGGTTTAATTGGTTTAGTAAAACTCAAAGAAGGCAAGTAAAAGTATTAAAATGTTAGTGGAACAAACAAAAGTGTCTCTTTTCTTAATGTAAGTTAGTGTTTATTATGTTATGCATATCTTTGCAAAACTGATACTCAATCAGGCTTGTTGAAGTTTCTCTTTTGAATGGCTTTGAACATGTCTGGTCTCTTTTCACAACTTTACTACATTTTTTACACTTGTTTTTGGAATTTTCAATATATGTATAATCTATAACCATTTTGTTACTAGAAGACAGTATTTCATTTGACCGATTAATTTAACTCAACACGTGTTTTCTAAAGCAGCATCTTTCAGAATGTTAATGAAATTATGAGCCACACGTTGGATGGTGGCTTTTCATTGTAGTGCTGGAGATCTCTGGTTTGAACATAATATGCATATGCATTTGAACTAGTGTCCCAACAATGGAAGTAAAACTGGAGATTACATGAAAGCTTTCTGCTTAATTGGACTAAAAGTATTGATTGATTGATCAATCAAGTTACAATATTGCTGAAATGGTTTATATGGTATTTCCATAATACACTAACAAATGAGAGCGGTGTCCCAGGACTACTTTAGAGCACCGTATAATGTATTTTTATGTTGTTTGTTTCCAGCTGGGTGCAGAGTTTCGGTCATGAGGGATTGGGTCTTCTGCTGGATATACTGGAGAGACTCCTACTCAAAAAACAGTAAGACTACATTACCAAGAAGTCACTTGCAGAGTGCCAAATTGAGCAGTCTGTTGCCTATCGTGTGCATTTATAAAGGACAAAGCAATTTCAGTGCAATTCTCACGCTTGCATTTTACATACTTTGTCTTTTCTTTACTTGCTGAGTGCACCTTTCTCTCTTGTTTCCAGCCAGGATAAGGTTGATAAGAAGAGTCAGCACAAAGTCATCCAGTGCCTGAAGGCTTTCATGAACAACAAGGTAATACCGTCAGTGAACAGCAGGTTCGCTCTGTAACAGCCTCCCTCTGTAGGACAATCTACCCCTCACATATTGGCTAGGCTGTTTTTAAAGTCATCTGAAGTCATTTAAAATCCAACAGGCAGCACTTTCAAGGCTTGCACTGAACAGTACTTGAGTACATCTTTTTTGTAAGTATTACACAATCATATTTCTTTCTTTATGGACAAGGTTTAAATTAAGGTGATAACAGCCATAGTATAAACTAAATTATTCATATTTTATGCGTGGCTCAAGTTTCCGTTATTTACTGCTAGAATGTCTGGCATACATACGTAATTGATCTGCTAAGATTGGTTAAGAAAATAAAACAAGAAAAAAAAAATTTGGTTTATTAAAGGCTGACATTTTTTCTTAACTTCTAGCAAAGTTTGGCTCGGCTTACACTGTTATTTTCTTAGCCACTCGATATATGAAGTGTGGTCTTAAAAGAAGAGTTGGGCAAAAAATCTCAGTTAAAGTTTTCCACTTACCCCACATGTAGATGATCAGCCAGTTCATGTTTTGTGCCCAAAAATTACTGTTGTAGTTTATCACTGGAGCTGCACATGTAATGTAAGGCCAATAGAAGTCAATAGTCACCCAAATATCTTATGAAAATACATGCCTAAAATTTTCTCAACCCTCACTCAAACCTCATCTTGATCTTTATTAGGGTCACACAGTCTTATGGTTGTGGTTTAGGACACAATATGACAGTGAGATATAAAAACAAACAAAACTTTTTTCTGTAGCTGAATGCTGAGGGCAGCCGCTTTAGACAACAGGTGTTGTGCCGAATTCTTGTCCAGGCGCACACACACCACCAGGCATGTGCATTCGGTATGAATACACATACTGTCACACCCCTAGTTGCTAACAAACACTAGAAGTCAAGTCACCCAAATCTTTTCTGTAAACACATCCCGCTTAAACCACATCCAACACTTCATTACAGTCATGCAGACTTGCTGATGTGGTTGAAAGCACAGTATGACTTAGTGTGAACTATGAAAATGAACAAAACTTTACCATGTAACTAAATGCTAGCTAAGGCTATCGTATGTTCATGATTTTTGTTGTTTCTATTTATAAATGTATATCTACGGTTCGATAATTCAAGATTAATGGTTATTAATAGATGGAAACCACAAAAATCACTAATTGTAGAACTGCAGCAGCTTCATAACTCCTGACCCTGATCAGCTGTGAGGTGTTTGAACAGTAAGCGAGAGTTGAGGAAGGCAGCTATCATAGTAAATAAAAAGAGAAGGGTTCTTGTTTAACACAAGTTGAAATTAAGCTAACGAAATGAAACTTTTTTCCTTTCCACAGCTTGCAGTATTTTTGCTTCTGTGAGGTGATTCAGCACAAAGCCTTACAAATTTTTCTGTCTTCTCTGCTTCTAACTAAAAAAAAATCACAGCCTGAGTTGAACTATAGCCCTATTTGAACAGAATTAGTTTTACCTGGGGTTGTGGTGTAATTTGAGTGATTACTGACAAGGTCTGTGATTTGAATCCACTGTGAATCTCTCATTTTTGTAGTTTTTACAAGTCTGCCGAGTAATGATTCAGGAGTGAATTACCTCCTGTAATTCGCCAGACTCAGAGCTTCTCAGTAATAGTAGTCTTGTTCGAATCGACATCTCAGTAATGTAATAACAAAACCGAGTAATAGAAAACGGACAAAGCTGAAGTTGGCTCCCTATTTGCCAGCTTCTTGTTTGAATTTTCCCATTGCTGCTGCATCATTTAAGATGAAACTAGAAAATTCGAACAAGAAGCTGGTAAATAGGGAGCCACCTTCAGCTTTGTAGAAAGCAGTGCCTCCTTTTATATTCTTTTTTTGTGTCCTGAAGACAAGGCTATCAGCTAAAATGGAGCTTGATTTGACCCTTGCTTAAGTTCATGACAGGACTACTGAAATCCACATTTTTGGTAATGGCTGAATTACAAGGAGGAGGGAAATGAAATATCTCGCAAACACCTCTTGCAAGGCTATACACCGACCAGGCATAACATTATGACCATATCTTTGTTTCTATGCTCATTGTCCGTTTTATCAGCTCCACTTACTATGTAGATGCACTTTGTAGTTCTACGGGGACCCCCATGGACCCTCACAGAGCAGGTACTATTTGGTGGATCAGACACAGCAGTGGGGTCCTGACCACTGAAGAACGGGATAAAAGGGGGCTAACAAAGTATGCAGAGAACCAGATGGACTACAGTCTGTAATTGTAGAACTGCAAAGTGCACCTATACAGTAAGTGGAGCTGATAAAATGGACAATGAGCGTAGAAACAAGGAGGTGATCATAATGTTATGCCTGATCGGTGTATATCATTCATCGTGTTGTTCAGTAGAGAGGCGTCTGTCGCATAATGCTGTGGTAAACGTTTAACAGATGATGTTTTGGTCCAGGTAATTTGGGAAAATTACAGAGATCCATTGTCCTGTATGAATCAGCCAGTCAAATCACACACTTAAGACATTCCTAGACCTCCTCTGGTAAAACTAATCCCACTTGAATAGGGCTTTTTACCACACAAATTAGTTAACATTCATGACTTTCCCCGTAGAGTGCAAATGACCCACACTACAGGCTGTACCAACTAAAGTTACCTCAGGGGGAAGTATACAACACTATGTGGAGCAAGCTGTAACTGGCACTACTGTCTATTCAAAACATATGAAAGAAACCTAACCTTACGCCTTTGGAGGTTTTTGTTGCTTTTTTCCTGTTGTACCAAGCTGTGATGTCCAAACCACAGTGTGAACCATGACTTCTATGTACCGTTACACTCCTGTTAGGACCAGAGTTTAGATACCCGTTAAGTCTTGGCTGATCGTTTACATTTGTGGTAGGTAGAAAAATATGTAAATCAAATTGTTTTTGAAGTACTCCTTTAAGTATGCATTAATAATATAGAGATATGCTGGAAGGTATTGCAGAATTGAGAGAACTTGTCCTTTTTGATGTAGAGTAGATTTGTGCTGTTGATTTCCACATGCAGAGAACACCATATACCGTATACCAATTTCATCAGTCATTCACAGGGTTACTTATGAATGATCTGCTTTTTAGTTCATAAACAGTAGCTCACTAATTGTAGCTGCCATTTTTAAATATCATATATATGGGTGAATATATGAAGTTAAAAAAGTAATTAAAAATATTGCAGAATTCAGTCATTCTGTTTTGCCTTACAGTGCTTTGCATGTACTTTTCCTACAAGAATGTCTTTAAAAAGTACATTTTAGAACAAACCTTCACTCAAAACTATCAAAAAACAGTCAGGTAAGGTATTTGCAATTATTATGTGTGCTGTGTTTCTGTGAGGTACCTTATATCTGCCTCACTCTGGTTCTTGTCACCACTGCTGTGTACAGTTCTGACTCTGCAAGTTTCTCTAAGCGGCACATTTTACATCAAACCACTCTTAATGACCCTGTTCACATCTTACTGCTTGAACTATGCAGGAAAATCTGTGGAATTCCCCTTTAAATCTGCTTTCCTCAGACTAAGCTAAGATTTGGTTATTATGGTAAGTATTAAAAATGCACAAACCAAAGACTTTAGGAGGTAATGTACACTGTGTGGTGAAGATAAACACATTGCAGGAAGTCTTATCAGAGGACAGATTTCAGAATCAATTTCTTCATGTTTCAGAGCTGCTTCTAATTTGGAGAAAGTCCAGAGTAATCTAAACCCTAACGTCTCTTCATCATTCTACGGCATTAGCCTCCAAAGATGCTCAGTCTATCCTCTCCTTCATCTGTCTGGCAGTCCACTTATGTGCCTCAGCCCTCATCAAGCCCGCATTAGCTCTCCTCTGGTTCAGCGGTCTCTCTGCTCCCTGCCCGACGCCCGTAGCCGCAGCTGCTTTCGTATGGCCGGAGCCGATAAGAGGCGAGCTCCATAGGAAGGAGCCCTCGCCTGGCCGGCTCTGTGAACTCGGGAGGGGGTTCCTGGATACGGGTGCTGCAGAGGTCTGGGGGGGCTTTTAATGATTTGGCCACCCCTGTTAGAGCAGGCTGATAGAAGTGGGTCTCCAGTGGCTCTTCTGATGTGCTGGAGATGGCCCGCGGTCTGAGGAGTGTCTCTCTCACTCTCTCTCTCTCTCTCTCTCTCTCTAGCTCTCTCCCTTGCTCTCTTTCTCCCACACATACACATATTCTCACATGTGAAGCACACAGAGAGATCACAATTACTTGTGTGTGTTCCATCACAGTGTGGTCAAAACACTTGAAAAGGATTGATTGGGTGGTGGACATCACTGACCAGAGTAAACATGGTTCATATGGTGCTGAGTGAGAGATGAGCAGGTAGAAATGACCATGCAGAGATCTTTTGACATCCAAAAAAAAGTCTTCTGTGACTTCTGTGTTAGTAAACTATGTCTGATTTAAGGTAATTGATAGATCCTGTCTTGAAAAAAATCCTGGTGGTAAATTACATCAGTACGCTCCATTAGGTTATGCATCATATATATAAAAGAGGAAAAGAAATATTATAAGCCCTTTTCCTGCTTTCTAATGAAAATCTGCAGAAAGTCCTAGCCACTCTTTCTCTACAGTTATTCTTCAGAGAAATCTCTCTCTCTTACTCTTTCTTTCCCTCTCCCCTCTCTCTCCCCTTCATTCCTCCTTTCCCTCTCCCCCACTCTCTTCCTTTCCCTCTGCCCCCCCACTCACCCTCTGTACTTTCTCTTCTCTTTCTCTCCCTCTCTGCTTTCTCTTTCTTGCTTTCTTTCTCTGTCTTTCTCTTTCTCCTTATCTTTCTTTCTCCCTTCCCCCCGACTCTTTCTGTCTCTCCTTATTCCTTTCTATCTCTCTCTTCCCTCTCTCTCCTTGTCTTTCTCACTATCTCTCTGTGTCCCTCTCTTTGCACTGTGTCTATTTCTCTGTTTCTCTCCCTCACTCTCTCTCCCTCTTTTTGACCCCATCTCTCTCCTCCTCACTCTCTCCCTCTTTCTGCCTCTCTCTCTGCTTTCTCATCCCCCTCTCTGTCAAATTCTCTTTCTTCCTCTCTCTCCCTTTCTTTGCCCCTTCTCTATCGGTCTCTGTCTCCCCCTCTCTCTCCCCCCCTCCTCTCTCTCTCTCTCTCTCTCTCTCTCTCTCTCTCTCTCTCTCTGTCTCTCTCTCTCTCTCAGCCTGCAAGGTCTTGTGTAATCAGGTGGGGAAGAGTGTTATTTACCCACAGACCTGTCGCCTCTCCAGACCTCTCCTGCCGCCCTGCGGCATCCTGGGACACATTCCACCCACGGTGCCTGCCAGCCAGGTGTTCCTGCCCAGCTGGCACCCGCTTCAGCAGAATGAAGACAGCAAAGCAGCATAAATATGCTTACAGACATTTCCGCACATAAACACTCTGCAACATCTCTATCCCCACAGTGCTCCAAGGCTGAAAGAATGTTTTCATACTTAAATCTGGAGGAAAAATGGAAAAAAAAGAGAAACATCTGTTCAGAAAGAAAACATATAGTTCTACAAGCCATTAATTTCTTCAGTAATGAGCCTTATAACAGAGTTTAGATTTGACTTTGAATCCTCTCGATGCACAACCTCCTATATATAAATATCTATACGCTGTTACGTGGAAACCTCATTAACAGCTGAATCATTGTCAGTAATTTGGCTGGTTTGTGGTTTTGCACATCTGGTGAGTGCTGACATGGTGTGTCATGGTTGTCCAGAGATTATATACTGAGTACTGGTAGTTCTGAGGTGTTGTGTATGGAAAAATTAAATGCTAGATTTACTTAAAGGTGTTATGTCAAGTGTCCACAGGAGTAATATTTACTTAATTAGCATAAATTACACTAAAGTGATCTGATTGCATTCTAATTAACTGGCAGTTTTATGTATTATTCGTACATTTAACTTTTTATAGTTATGCTCATCTAATGACAGTAGAAAAAGCAATAGAAGATAGTAAGTTAAAGTGAGATCAGTTTAGTTTAGCTGAGTTGTTACTGTGCTACACAGCTGTCTTAAAAACATGCTCAGCAGCAGGGTTCGTGGTAACTCGCTCTTACAGCTCACAACAAGGCTAGGCACTCAACCAAAGAGGCTGTTTACACCTTGCATTAATGTGTTGAGTCTAGATTCCATCTGGATATACAGTACTCTGAAAAAGTCAGACCACCCTTCATTTAATCTGCAGTCAAAATGTCCAAGAAGTACAAGTTATTTATTTTTCAGCATCAGGAAAAAAGCTGAAAACATTTATTTCATAGAAAATTACACAGAAGCCTCAACAACTAAATATAATAGCTTTTTTCAGTATTTCATATGCACTCTTCGCCCTTATTACAGCTTCTATTCTTTTTGAGAGACTTGCTTTCAGTTTTGTAAAGAAATCTGCAGGGATATTTTTCATGACTGGAGGAAGGGTACCACCCACATTTACTCACTGCATTTGTTGTCAGACAGAAATGTGCTGCGAGTCCGTGTTCATGTAAATGAAAGGGCTGTTAGAAGGAGAAGAAGGGCTGTTAGTGTAGACCGCATGAACCGTTAATGCGACTTGTGGACAAACAGCAAACAAATGAAGCTTTTTTCGTCTCTGCAAAAGACAAAAGACGTCATCTCTGCGATTGTGAATGTTAGGTGCTCATATGCGTCCCTGATCACCTCCAAAGGTGGATCAATCGGATCACGATTTGTCTCCAAAACCCTGTTCACACTTGTACTTAGCACTGTCCAGTTATGATTGGATCTCCCGTGAGGCATGTTGATGCTAAGTGTGAACAGGGTCTTAGAAGTTGGTTGCATTTTCTGTTTTTTTATGATCCAAATCATCCCAAACACATGCAGTGATGTAGGAGTCTGGTCTCTGAGGCCAGTCCCTTGTTCAAAGAACTCCAGCAGCTTTTCTGTTTGATTTGCACTTTTTTGTCTATTTCCTTTTCACAATAACATCTTCTTGTCAGATACACATCCTTTCAGATCCATAACACTGAGTTGTCCTGTCACAGTGGAAGGATGGACAGAAACCTGTGGATTTTTTCAGATCGGAAGCAAAAATGGGGCTTCAGCTTCTCCTATCTCTCAAAGGAAAAAAAAAAGCTGCTGGAGGTCTCTGAACAAGGGACTGGCTACCTCAGAAACCAGACCCCAACATCACTAAATGTGTTTAGGATTATTTAGATGTTTAGATTTAGATTTCTGAGTCAGACGTGTTCATAGTTTTGGTGGTACAAATCAGACATATGAAGAGTTCAGTGCTTCTAAAAGCTCCATAACAAAGTTTCTACATTAAATCATTATGAATGCACTGCCTGAGACATTGTTTTATGATAGTTTAGAGAAAGTTTGGTCCAAAACATTTTATAAAAATCTATTCATTGTGGAGTGGAGTAAGATGTGTGGTGCTATAAGGCAAAATAGCCCCCACCCAAAGATTGCAACGTGTTTACTAGTCTTTTTAAATAGCAAATAAAATGGCTATATTTGTGTTGTAGACTTTGCATCCTCTAGTTTCTGTTACCACAACTGTAACAATATTTGAGTCGGCAAATTTCTTTAAAATGGACATTTCACATCAAACCACTTTGATTGACTTTGATTACGTCTCAATGATTGAATTGTGCAGAAACTTTGAAAAATAGGTGTAGCAGCCACCAGCCATTTATTTTGAGTGAGGTAACTGCATACATAATTCATCTTAGTTAGAGTGAACAGAAATCAATTTAGCATCAGAATTTTCTCTGAAGCGTTACGAGTGCCGACCGAAAAAAGTTGGACATTAGAAAGAGCAGCATTAACAAGTAATTCCTCCTCTGGTGTCGGCGCAGTCGCCGTCATTAGACTAACCCTACTGTGTTCTCTTTGACTCCACGCCTCTCTCTAAGGGCTCCCAACCGCTCTTGTCGTTCCAGACCCCCAAGGCTCTTCTGTCCTACGTCTACGTGTCGAATTCATGCACCTCCATGCTTCCCTCTTTCTCCCTTTTTCTTTTTCTTTCATTTGAACATTTACATATCCCTGATCGCATTCACACTGTTGTCATTATTCCAAGGACAGAGCACCAAGCAGCGCTGCGCACGGGCCCAGCTCGCGTCCTTGGGCTTCTCAGCCTCTGAAGTGCCACCACTAATTTAAAACTTTAGGGAGATCTCTGCTCCATATTCATATTCCTAACTAAAAAAGTTCAACACGACGTTCGCTGTGTCTTCCAGTAGATGTTAAAAGGGCACAGTCATGTTTCTGATATTTAAATGGCGAAAATGATCGCTTGCAGTCTGTGCCATGACACAACGCTGCCACTAACAACACAGCCGTTGTAGAGAGAAGAAACAAAAACATAGTGAAAACTAAATGTCTTGATATATGCTGCTGGATTTTGCAAGCACCTTAACATCAGCCTTCCATCTGCACCTGTATGTTTGAGGGCCAACTCTGAAACAATGGAAACACCTAGGCACTTTGTTTTCACTAGTTTTTTCCACTTTGCTTTGCTGCTGTACAAAGCCACCGTTTTATATCGTCCACCAAACATGCAAATTCCGTTCAAAACTGCATTTTTCAGACATAATGTTGGGAGTAATTCGGGACAAAGGTGGTGAACTTTTTTTTGTGTTTAATTTGCCGAGCAAATTCACTTAACTAGAGTCATTATGTTCTATTAAACCTACCTGAACTTTATGCAAATATCGACAAAAGAGCTTTTCTTTTCGAGTTCACTTCCAGCATTCCATGAGGACAAAGACACTCCATAGATGAATAGATTCAGTTTAATTCAGCATCAACACAATAAAGAGTAGGGTTGTGGCTTGGTGGACAACCATACAGAAGCTTAAAAGCCTCAGCATCATCACCCCAACAATCATTCAGTGAACGTTTTGCTCTGTGAAGGACAATGTGAAGCGTTTTATGAAACTACAGTTTAATTATAGATTTTCATTGTGTGCTGAGGGTTAAGACAGCTGAAGCAGAAGAGAAGTCTTAAAAAGAAGATTCTGAGGCTGTAGTTGAAGTAGGCAAGCAGATCCTTTTTAAAAAAAATGTTTTTTTCTTTTTTTCTGGTTCTTGTAGTTCTTATTGATGGGTGAGGGTGCTGCTAAGGTGACTGACGGCTAATGTAGATATTGCTTTATGTTGTCAGTATGGGCTGGAGCGGATCCTCGGGGAAGAGAAGAGTCTGGCACTGCTGGCCCGAGCGATGGATCCTTGTCAGCCTGCCATGATGACAGACGTCGTCAAACTGCTCTCTGCCATCTGTATTGTGGGAGAGGAGAACACGTACGTCCCCATGCTACTTTTTTTCATGATCTTCGCTTCCAAAGGAGCCCAAAGCTTATTCTAAGTTAACATCTTTTCTGTGAACATATGATCAATAACTGCATTTTTTAAAATTAAAGGGGCCACAAAAGGTTCTTTGGAGCAATGACCTGTAAAAACTGCTTTTGGTACTTTTCAATGGATGGTTCATTAAAGAGCGAATAGCTTTAAGGATTAAAGATCCTCTGCATAATGTAAATGGTTTCTATTAAACATGGTCTTAAAATCTCATTTCCTGAGCCACATTCGAAGCCAAAACTTAATTTCTTAACTAGAACTAGGCTGATCGGCTTGGCAAGTAGCAAGCTCCCTTATTATTATTCAGTGTTAAGCTTTGAATTTGAGTATTTACTGGAGAATTCACTGTAAAGTGGAATATACAAAGTAAAGAATTTATTACTTAAATGTCTTACAAACTTCAAATGTCTGTTTTTTAGTTAGTCTTAATAGTGTTAAACCCAGTTTGGGAAGACTAATGTATGCCACTGTTAGCTTGGTGCTAACATAACACGATATCATAAAGGCGTCAAAAATTTGATTAAGAAAAAAGCTACTTTTAAGATGAACGTTTCTGCATTAAACGGTGCTACATTATAATATGTTTATGATTTTATGACAAAGATGTTAAAATATTCATGAAATGACTAATATATAATGATGAGTGCCTAAAAGTCATTCAGTCTCTGGCCCAAGATTAGTTGACAGTGATAACCTAGTCTTAATCCACAATTCTTGGTGGAATAATTGTTTATTGCGATTATTATAAATGTAATTATTTGTTGAACATTTCTCATAATGTATTTTTTATGTTGTTTTAACGGCAATAAGCCACTCAAACCTGTGCATTAGTGATTTTATCATGGGTAAGGAGGTAAGCACTGACTCTTGCGATGTATTGCTTTGTCCTAGAACTGTACGTCTAAGCTAAGTGTATGTAAATCCAAACTGATAGGAACAACATTTCATGCTGCCTTTGTAAAATACCAAAAAATTAAGAACTTTGCTTAATACAGCCAGAGAGTGAAAATTTTAGAAGTTATTACAAATACAAATAATTTTTCAAAATGTCTGCAGTAGGTAAGATGTAATCAGTCATTTAGAGTGCTCCGTTCTAGAAAAATTGTTCACAGTGTGTGTATGTATAATCACACGTGTGGGTTCACTGGTGGTTTTGGATAGTAAATTAAACGGCTATGTTTTCATTGTAGACATTCCATCCCCTGGTTCCTGTCACCACTACTGTAAAGAAATCTGAATCAGTAAATTGCTCGGCAATGCACCATTTCTCCTGAAACCTCTCTGAGTGACTTTGCTTACATCTGAACCACTGAATTATAAATACATTTTATAAAAATCAGTGCAATCCTTCTTTAACATTGTTTAATTTTTTTCTACTCTTTGTTATAAGCACAGTGTTCTCTGATGTTCTCTCCTGAATAGCTAAGAAATGTTGATTATATCAACTTCATCTTTTATGTTTGATCTTGCTGTATCTGTTCTTTATCTATCTGTATTCTTTATAGCCTTTATGTAGTCTTTTATTTAGAGATCATGTCTCATCCTCAGTGTACAGTTAGCACAACAATTGACCGAAGGTTCATTACCAGTGTCTTAACAAAACACTCTCTCTGTGAATATCACCACTGTAGCCTTGCCAAGTAAACACAGCCAAGATGAAAAAAATGTCATGTTAGTTTTCGATGCACTCATACTGAGAAAGTGGGGAAAAAGAAGTGCAAGAAATGCAAACCCAGCATAACCCTTCACTGAAACTGTAAAAACGAATCAAAGCTGTGAGCATAGTGTCAGGAAGGGCAGCGGAAAGGAGAGGCACCTCTGACTGGAGAATAAGCTGAACGATAGGAAATAGCTAAAGACGAATGTACTGCATTTAGTTTTGGCCTTTTGTGCACTGATGCGTTTGATATTTCTCCATGTTTAGGTTGGAGAAGGTCCTTGAAGCCATCACAAGCGCGGGGGAGAGGTTGGAGATGAGTCGCTTCAGTCCCATAGTCCAGGGCCTCGCTGACCGCTCCGTCCAGCTTCAGGTAATAGTTTACCCCAAACGAGTGCCAGCATGCCCCCTGGCTTCTGCTGAGAGCAATGAAACTTTGCTCTCACCGCAAATCCTTCAATTTAAAACCAAACAAACTGAAAAAGGCCCACTCAATTCACACATATATTTTTTACATTTCACAGCTGCATCCATGAAATTAATAATAAAGGCTGGATACAGTCATATACCATAGCTATGGTGGTCAAATGGCACATTTGGTTGAATTTCTGAGTCAAAGTACATATTTTACAAAGTACACCTTTAGGGAGAATACACGTCTGCACATTATATTGCAAAATTACTGGTTAACATGTTTAACATAAAACATAAAATGTGACCTGTGCAAAAGTTATGAGACATATTTTGTTTTTGTTTTGTTTTTTTTCCCAATACATTAAACTCATCTCAATACTAGAAATTGTGTGCTACAAATTGCAAAAAGATTCCATATTTAAGTTTGTTCCCTGTATTTTCACATTTGACCAGTGGTACTTCAACCTTTTTATATGACTGCATGTGCATTCTCATAAATTTTATTATTATTATTTCTTTTTTACTGAATAGCACAATATGCTTCTACTCTGTACGAGTATCTAAAATTATTCCCATGTGTATTTCATTCTGTAGGGGTTTAACACAAAGACTTCAAGGTGGCGTTAATTAATATTTCTGAGTGGGTGGACTGACTCTGGTGTTTGGAGTACTGTTCACAGAGCGAAATTCCCTGTGGAATAACACAGTCAGAACATATAGATCTGATCCATTATGGAGCTAGTGGTCATGTTGCTGAAATGAAACACAGTAATGAATTTGCAGGTCCCAGAGCATATCTGGTAGGGATGTGTATTGATACTACAGTATTCTGTTAACAACATTTAATTTTTACACGGCTTTAAAGTATGGCAGTCTTAGTTGCGTTTAAGATGCAGTACATATTTATTGCTTTATTGCTAGAACACAAGTTCCAAGGATGCGTTGTTAGTGACATGATTGAGAAGGCAGGAATAATATGATCGTAACTACTCTTTCTGCCATTAGCTAGAACTAAAAACAGTGAAAGGATACTTCTCAGTTTTATCTCAACAAGCATTAGCTCATCTACTGAGGAGGAAAAGCTTAGTGTAGAAAATAAAGGAGTCATCGTCATCCACCATTGCACCACTGCAGCTCTAGTTCTCTGGTTCTCTGGTACAGTAACTAAAACATTTCTCCTAATTTTTTGTTTTTTTGTAAATCAGGCATTTTTGGTTTGTTATACTGTTTTTTTAATGTGCTAGCACCAGGGCACCAGTTTACCATCTTAGTTAGATGTGAAGCACCTAATGACTTGTTAACTAACTCTCTTATACTCACATTTAGCAGGCTGAACATTCTCCACAAGGGGGCACCATTAGCAGTGAAATAACTTGTGATGTTCATCAGAGTGTAGCTTTGCATCAGTGACACATCTGTCACTGTGTGTATTATGTTTAGGCGAAAAAGCCTTTTTCCCTGCAGTTACCTGAATATATGTTCATCTCTTTCAGATACTAGAATATCAGGATTCACATCCCTAAACTCTGAAATTTTTTCAGTTTTTCTTTGTTTTTGCCTGGCAGAACAGAATGAGCAGTAGTTAGATAGTTGAATAACCACTGCTTTGGATCTTTACCAGTAAGCTGGTCACAGCAGTTACTTGATTAAATGTGATTGTGAAATAAACATTGATTAGTTGCCAGTTTAGCTGATGTTAATGTAAACTTTCTCCTACTGGTCTCTTACAATATGAAACAGAGCCTGATGGACAGAGCTCTTGTTTAGCTGGCATCTTACTTCAGAGTTGGTTTTGCACAGTAGTGGATATAAAGCCTAACGGTAGACTGGTGCTAGTTCTGTGCTGTGTGCCCTGTGTATGATAGGAATGGTCAATGTGTAGGCCAAGTAAAGAGCTGTATTGAAGAAATGTATGTGAGTTTTGCTCTTATTTATTATTTGCAGGGCTGCATAGTCTGTGTCATGCTCTATGTGTCATGCTCTGTCTGAAATGTCTGACTTATGTGACATAAGCAAGCTGGTGGGGTGCCTTTTCACTGTCACTCATATCTGAAGGCTGTCTGATGCCACTCGTGCGTGTGTGTGTGTATGTGTGTCTCCATGTTTGTATGTGTGTGTGTATGAGAGAGAGGAATAGTTAAGAACTTTGTAAGGCTGCTCAATGGGTATTTCGACTACTGTTTGACCTTTAGCATGGTGGCCCCTCTGAGCACAGCAGGGCTGTCAGGCCCCCCGAGAGTGTGTGTGAAGGAAGAGAGAGAGAGAGAGAGAGAGACACACACACACACACCTCTCATTAGCATTCATTTCTGTCTGGCTGTTTTTTGTCACACTTGTGTGTGCATATACTTGTTTTTGTACATTTTCAGGACAAAAATCACAGCAGAAAAACAGAGGAAAAACAGGGCTGAAGTATCAGGACCACCTAAATGGTCCTTGTTAGGGTGCACAGATCGTGAATTTAAGACCAATATAGAAATAATATTGTTTGCTCTTAAATGGACCAAACTGCTGTTTTAAATACTTAAATGAAAAATCAGTTCTCTTCAGTGAATGGTTTATCAACATGTTACTTGTCTGAGAAATATATTTTCACAGTTTCTTGACCTAACATAAGCTAGAGTAGTTAGCTTAGTTGGCAGAAAAATTGCACCATAGCTGTCCATACTATCTCTGCCTTCTCAGTCATGTCCCCAACAATGCGTCCATGGCAGCGCACTCACATTTAGGCATTCGTGTTTTGTCACATTTTGCAGTCCTGTTAACACATAAAATCTGCATTTCCCTGAATTGTTAGCCTGTTTATTTTCTCCATCTTCCCGTAATGAAATGTAATGTATACCTGAGTAGTGATTTCCGTTCTTGAATATGGGCACTTTGAATGGTTAACGAAGTACTTGAGTTCCAGTGCCTGCTTACACTTAAGCTGGCACTGTACTTCACATGAAAACAATATATTTTGTCAGTAATTCATTAAAGGATTTACATGCTCTTAGGTAATCAGACAATGGGAAAACTCTCGTCAGTTATAAATAGGATTTCTGCTTTGCAACCCAACAGTAAACTCACAGAATAAGGCGTGATATAAATGTAACAAAACTTAAATGCAGCTGTTGTTGTTGTTGTTTTTTTTAACAGGAAGTCACTTTACTGTAATATATGAATAAATATGCATCATCACAAAGTTGAAGAATATTCACATCTCGCCAACGCTCTCTTAAATGTGGCTTCCTGTTTCTGGGACAGTGCTCTGGTTCTGCACAAGCGCAGACTGAAAAACAAAAGAAATCAGAGTAACTCTATACATGTGCTGAAAACCCCAGTTACTGTACTAAGATCCAGCTTTCTTTGGATGTCTTGAAATCCGATAAGAAATCAGAGAATGCTGTTTCCGTGTCCACTTCAATAATCAGATAACTGCCGAAATCCAATAATGATCGTATTATTGGTGTGCTTGTAAGTGTGTACATTATGCATGTTTTGTTTAATTATATAGATTTAGAAATAGATGCAGAAATTCCTATTACATACAGGTACTTTTGTATATATCATACATGCGGGGCATATGCGTGACCCCATGTAATGACATTGTGTGTCTGTGAGTGAGTGATGGTGTTCAGGCCGTGGTTTCTATGTGCCTGTCAGGGTAGAGTGGAGCAGTGCTGCAACGTGTTGTATTAACAGAGTTGCTACATTGTTAAGACTGATTAAAGCTTCAGTGTTTTAGTTTAATTGGTAGCAGAGGGAGGTGAGAAGAGAGGCACTCAGTTCTGCCTTCACTGTGGGCTCTGTCATTTATACCATGCACTGCCTGCCCACACACACACACACACACACAGTCACGATAAAAACACTGCATTATCGATTGGGAATTAAAGTTAAAATCGTCTTGCTGAAAATATAGTCATTCTGCTCTGTTCTATCTGCAAATGAGGAATGCTGTTCTATAACCTAAAGCACATACAGTTCATCAACCTCGTACCGCTGTCCAAGCAGCATTCTGGACGATTTACAAAGTGTTATGGTCAGTTTTAGTGTAAGGGCCTTTACCAGCAATGAATAATTAATGCAGGAAGTAGTGCTATGTTTTGGTAGTTTCCTTCACCTCACCTTGCCAAGGGAAGCAGTGTTGAGAGGGGAGAGAAATCCCCCTCCTAGCTGAACTCATTCATATCCACCAAGGCCAATTGGACGATCTCCACAATGTTTTATTGATATCACTGGCTAGTTCCAGTTTGCAAATACGCATCTGTGATCCCTTTTAACTTCATGAATCATTTAGCGAACACTTCTCTATTCTTATCGCTGGGAATATTTAAAGTACTCTGCCCGCATACATCTCCCTCTCTCTTTGTTTCTCTTGTTCTATTCCTCTTTTCCTTCATCCCTCCCACCCATGACCCTCCTCTGAATAGCACCTTACAATCAAAACACTTTTTTTTTTTCTCTCTAGTTAATTATATAGACATGTGCTTCTGGTACCTCTGACATTGTAAATGCAAATACATTAGTGCTAATACTTATTTTCTCTTTTCCAGCACCACTGTATGATTAGAACATGGGGTTTTTTTCTCTGTAAATAATTGCTAACCTCTAGGGACCGCAGTGCAATAATCAGTTCTATTTGCTCCATCTCGCACTACATGAGCATGAAAGTGCGATAACATACACTGTTAAAAATGATTCACTGTCCACTGTCCAATACCTCTGCGTCTTCTGAACGCTCCACTGCCTTTCTAAACCACACACACGTCTGTGTGTGTGACTGAAGAGGTTACAAAGATCACTGATCAATATTTGATGAGCTGTGTCCACTCAAGGGGATGGATCTGTGTTGTAGTTTGATGGAGGTGCAGAAATCTGTTCTGTCGTCCGAGAGCTCACTGATGAAACAAAATGCTCCTCTACTGTTCAGCCAAAAAACCTACCTCTCTGCAGGTCAGATGATCCTGGAATATCAATATCAGTGCTGCCCCAGCGCAGTGGACGACAGTGAGAAAATGTCACATCAACTGTGGTTTTGGAGATCTGTTCCCAGGATTTCTGTGTTTTTGTAAACCTATGAAAGAACACTGTGTAAAAAGTTTGCAGGGCTGTCACTATCGATTTATATTAGTAATTTGCTGACCACTTTGACACGTAATCAAGTAGTCAGAGTGTAAAAAGAAAAGGGCAAATAATAAAAATGGACTAATAAATAACAATTAATAACAAATTGTCCATAGCCAAGATTCTAGAATAGTGAATAGTTTGTATACAATTTTATGTATATTAGTATGGCAGTGTGGCTGTGTATCTTACAATAAAAGAGACCAGTAAAATATGTATCATCAGATTTATCTACGTATCCCAGAAATTATCTACTGCCTTCTGGTTTCCTGCGTGATTTCTCACTGATTCATTGAGAAGTTTTAATCAGTGACTTTTAATTTATTTTTGTTTTTATCGAGTAGTCAGTTTAATCGAGTACTCATGACAACCCTCAGTTTTTTTCAGAGTCTGAAGATCAGCCTCATGGTATTTAGCTAGTATTTAGCTTTTAACATCTGTACAAAAGACAGCAGACCTGACTCAGTTGAAACTCTATGCACGTTTTGTACTCATAAATAACTGTTGGAATTCATGTCCATCTGTTCCATTCTCTGCTAATTCTATGGTGACAGTGTTAGTATTCTTCACACTGGAATTCCTCGCTAACTAAAATGAATTTCACAGCACTGTGCGCAACAGTAGCAGTGAAATTGAATCCTTTAAAAACTTTATTAAGCTTTAATAAGCTTTTTACTGTTTTAATGGGTGGAGTCAGTCTTGTTCATTGATTCACAGTTCATACGTTTACTAGGGAAAATGTGCAAAAAAAAGGGAATATTTTATTGCATATTGCGTTGAACCCTACTGAAATAAATGTTATTAGGCCATTTTACATAATCACCAGTTAATACATAATTACATAAATAGTTTTTGGCTTCCACAATTATTAGTTTACATTGCAACAGAAAGACTGAATGGTTGCATTTTCATCAGTTACCCGAAGCCAGTGCATGTAAATAAAACAGAAAATTTGTTTTGGTTCTGGTTCCATAATACATTTAGTGGGCAGCGGTGAGTAATGTTTCTTTATTTGATCTAGTAAGTTTCTTTATTTGACAACTAATCAGCCAATATGGACACTTTATGCTTGTAACTAATTACTTGCATACAGTGAACAAAAAAGAAAATTAAATTCTTAATTGTTAATTTATGTGGCAGTGGGCGTTGGGCAGTGCTCGTGTTTAATTGCTTTAAAATTGTGGCAGTTTTAAGACAAACCTACTTCATATGTTCTTATTAAAGAAGGGGCACCGTCATTTAAAGTTCAAAGCAGAAACTTTATCTCCTCTGCAGACCAGTTTCTGCTCCCGTCATGTTGAACGTTATAAACTTTTGCTATGATACAAACTCACATACGCAGAATGTACTTAAACTTTTCGATTGTGAATATAATCGGATACAGGCGTTTACACGGTTATTATTCTTCTATTTAACTGATTATTTAGAGGATTACTTACCTTGTTCAATAGGATAGAAATTGTATTCCGAATGGCCTCAATTGGACTAGTCTATTCCGATTGAGGTGTGTACATGGACGTATTCCATTCTGATTGAGCTATTAGTCAAAATATTAACAGTTTATTAAGCTGCATGTAATGTGGCTACTGTGATTGGCTTATGATTCCTATATCGATGCTTCCTTCAGTTTAAGCCCATTGTAAAACAGGGAGAACTAAAACATGTGCAAGGATTGAGAAGCTCTGGTCTAGGTTTACCCATTTTAACATTTTCCCTGTATCAACATGCCCACTTCCACCCAAGAAGAACTTGTTAATGAACTGATTAGTTGGAACAGATGTGTTAGAGCAAGGGAAAACTCTCGCACCTGTTAGGTGTAATGCCAAAATACAAAGAGCGGTGAATAAATTAACACATCTTCACATACTGATATCGTTTTCCCCTGGAAATTGTCAGTTGTTAAATTGTGCTGTATTGTTAATGAAACAATTACATCATGAATCAACGGATATTTTCACACATAGCTGAAAGGAGTGAATAATCAGCTTCATACTGGTATGCATTTTTAAATAAATCATATGCTGAATTATGCTCTTTTCCCAAGACTAGTGACTATAACCTGTGCACAAATCTTCTATCACCATTCCTCTCGACAGATGAGTTACCAGGGATTCCCTCACTGTTAGGAGTGAAAGCTGTGGAAAATTAGAGTAATAAAATGCCACAACAGGTTTTGTAGTGAGAAAATGGGAGATTTTGTCTCAGCAGACAGAACACAAGAAGACCTTTGACCTCTTCCCTCCTACATCAAATATGATCCCTCTCCAGCTATTTCAAAAGTCTGACCCAAACAGCACTGCCCTCAGTGGTTTAATCTGCTCCGGACTTGTTAACAGAGCATCCTGCTGCACTGAGAGCAGCCTCGTAATGAACACGCTCTTAAACACACTCTTGCACGCATGCTTGCTGAAGCTGAATGTTATCTCTTCTTCCTAGGTGGCCTGTATGCAGCTCATCAACGCTCTTGTTACGTCTCCTGATGAGCTGGACTTTAGGCTGCACATCCGAAATGAGTTCATGCGCTGCGGCCTGCGAGAGATATTGCCGGTAAGCGGCCTGTCAACCGACTGTGTATTAATATTGAAATGAGTTGTCCACTTCAGTGAAATATTGTAAAATGGCTCCACGAATAATTTATGAGGCCTCGAGAAGAGGTCGTCCGGCTGAATCAATACCTACGCTGGGGAATGGATTTGTATGTGTCTCTCTCTCTCTCTCTCTCTCTCTCTCTCTCTCTCTCTCTCTCTCTCTCTCTCTCTCTCTCTCTCTCTCTCTCTCTCTCCCCCTCTCTTTCACTCTGTCTCTCGCTGTCTCTGTCTCTCTCTTTCCGTCTTTCTCTCTCTCTCTCTCTCTCTCTCTCTCTCTCTCTCTGTTTCTTTCTCCCTCCCTCTGTCTCTCTCTCCTTTCAGCATCAGAGAGAGAGCTGAACCGAACTACCCATACAAAACAGACAGGCGCTGTATTAAATGAAAGAGAGGGTGTAGTGAGTGTCTGTGAGAAAGATTAATGCTTTGCTCCTGTCTTATTTATTATTCAAAGCAGAGCGCTGCCTCTCTCCTCTGCTGCAGGACAGGAGAACAGACTGAAGTGGAAAGTCTGCAGAGTAAAAGAAATAAGGAGAAAATGAAATTTGCCTCTTTCTATCTCTCCTTCACCCTATCTCTCTCACTTCACTCTATTTCTCACTTTTTGTGCTCTCTCGCTTTGTTTCGCTTTTGCCTTCTCTCTCTTTCTCACTTTCTCTCTCTGTCGCTTTCTTCATTTGTCCCTCTCTCATGTTTTCTTTCTTTGTCTCTCTGCCTTGCTCTCTCTCTGTCTCTCACTTTTTCTCTCTCTTTCTCTCTCTCTTTTGGTTTCTCTGTCTTGCTGTCTCTGTCTGTCTCTCTCTGTCTTTCTCTATGGCTTTTCTCTCTCTCTGGCTTATTGTCACTATCTTGCAGTTTCTCTATCTCTCTCTCTCTCTCTCTCTCTCTCTCTCTCTCTCTCTCTCTCTCTCGCTCTCGCTCTCACTTTCGCTCTCACTTGCTTTTTGTCTCTCCCCATCTCACTTTCTCTCTTAAATTTCTCTCTATCACTTTTTGCTTTCCCTCGCTTTATCTGTCACTTTCTCTCTCACTTTGTCTCTTTACTTCCTCTTTTTCTGTCTGTCTCTCTCTCTCTTTCTCGCTTTCTCTCTTGCTTTCACTCCTTCGCTTTGTCTGTCTCTCTTCCTTTTTCTTCCCCCCTTTTTCTCTCTCTCTCTTGCTTTCTTTTTACTCTCACTTCCTCTATCACTTGCTCTTTCTCATTTTGTCTCTCGTTTTCTCTCTCTCTCTCTCTCTCTCTCTCTCTCTTTCTCTCTCTCTCTATCTCTATCTCTCTCCCTCGCAGTATTTCTCTCTCTGCTTTGTTCTGTTCATCACTTTCATCATCTCTCTCTCTCTCAGTCTCTTGTTTGTGTTTGTTTATGTGAATAGAATCTGGGTGCTATCAAGAATGAAGCTCTGGACATCCAGCTGAAGGTGTTCGAGGAGCATAAAGAGGAGGACATGATTGAATTCTCTCACCGTCTGGAGGACATTAAAGCTGAATTTGAATATCCTTTCAGCTGCAGCATGCTTACAGCCACAAACAAACTACTAAAGCACCCTGTCCCTGTTTGACTCTCAGCTGACTTTTTTAATCTCTGACATTAATCTCTGGCCATTCGCTGACCAGTCTAACATGTGTAATGTGTTTCCAGCACATATACTGTCGACATGGTTTTATTTATTTTATTTTTATTTATTTGTGTGTTTGTGAAGATGTGTTTCCCCTCCACCCAGGATTGCCATTTATCATCTACCTACTATTGTTGTATTTTGAGAGAGGGTGGGCAATATGGCAAAAAATATAACGTTACAACACTTCAGGACATTTTCACAATACATGACTGACTATACATGGCTATAAAAAGACTGAGTATTTTTATTTAATGTTTGCTACTAAGTGAAGAACTAACTGCTGGGTAATATGACATAATTGATTACGATAACAACAGTGGAGAACCAAGATAGCTACGCCTTCAGTTTGGGCATAGAAACATAAACCCTCTAATGTTCCCCTCTGTCTTCCTTGTAGAATATTAGCACTATGCTAACTCTGGTGCACATGAACAGTTTTTGGCTGTTGTAGATTAAACTTGGACATTGGAAGACATTTCATGTTTTATTTAAAGCCTATAAACATTCATTTACATATATTTCACCTTGTATGAAGTAGTTTTACAGTGACTCCTTCAGTATAGAGGCCTGACATAAGCTGCTGCTGCTGTTTTCCCATTTCTAACAACTTACTGAAACCTGTTTAGGCTGCCACTCGTATTCACAGACAGTGATGTATCTAGGATTTCCAAAAAGCCTAGAGTGATGTTTTTTTTACTCACAAAATTGGTCCCACCCAAAATATGATTGGTTGAGTCCACTGTCACTTCATAGTTATGTTGGTGGTTAATCTGACTTGTTAGGCCTTCTGACCAGCTCCTGATGTCTTAACCAGTGGGTGAGCTCACCTGACTATACCTAGTGGTTTTTGAGTGGTTGTGTTTGTGTGTATGGCACTGTGCTCCTTAACGCTACGTGTACTGATGTAGGGGACGTTTTCAACATGTTGTTCAGCGTGGTGAAGGACACGACTGCGGAGGTCCATTTCCTCTCCATCCTGCAGCACCTGATGCTCATCAGGAACGACTACTTTGTGCGGTAAGTCTGCAGCGGAGAATTATTGTTATGAGAAAAAAGTAAAGTTTATGGGTCGTGGTCTTTCCTACCTCCTTGAAAATCAAGAGCTGAGAGATTTTGTTCAAAGTCAAAAGCTTTTTTGAAACTTTTCTCCTCAGTGTGTTCACTAAAGACGCACTCTTTTCCTTGAATTTCTGCAGTTCTCCAGAATCTTTCTTCCCTATTTAAAAGAGATCAGCTGTGTGCTTTATGAGACTCTCGTAATTGTTGTGAATATATAGTAAAGTTCAGTGTTTTGCTTGTCTGATGGCTTTCTGATCTAGTCAGCCTCAGTGTTATGTCAGTCTGTAGAGAGCAGGACTGACATGAGCTATGTGTTAAATTAACTAAAGATAGTGCGGACCATCTGCCAAGGAGTTTCCCCCAGGCGACTCTTTGAAGAAACACTCCTTTTCCTTAGGGAGATCAGTCGCCAAGCATATTAAGCAGTGGGTTACTTTTGTGTATTCATTGGCTTCACACCTCCTACAAGTCCTCCTCTTCCACACCTCCATGTAAGAGTGACAGAAATATATCACAGTGTTTGAAAATATTTTCACAACTGATAGCATGTTTGACAATGTTGTTATTCTGAGTTTTGCAAACAATGATGCACAACACTATGAAAATATTAGTGCAGTGTTTTTTTTTTTTTTATGAATTCAGTGTTTACATTGATCTATTTTAAGAGGAATAGTAGGATAAGTAAAAATTAATTCTAAAATTAAATGGATTAAACAAGAAATGTCCCACTGGCCTGAATCTGAATCTGTCTTTACGATGCACCACTGCTTCTGTGGGGAAGTTAATGTTTGTGTAGCGATCAGTAGCATACAGTCACCAGCTCTACACACCAGACTCTTTGAAGATCCATTTCTGGCTATCTAATTTGAAATAACGGTGTTTTAAAGGGGAAGTCCATTGATTTTAATATTTTACATAATTAAATGTTTAAGATGGAAACAAAGTTATTCAGAGTGGTCTGATGAAATACTTCGTTCTAGAGAATCATACAGAGTCAGATTTGTTTACAGGTTTACAGTGGAGATGACATAAATCAGATGTCTGGCACATTTACTGTTACTGTTAACTGAAAGTAAAATGCCTATATTTGTGTTGTAAACATCACAACCCCCGCTTCCTGTTACCATCATTTTAAAGAAATCGGAGTGGCTAAGTTGCTCTAGAAGGGAGTGTTTCACATCAAACCGCTCTGAATGACATTATTTACATCCCAATGGCTAAATTATACAGAAAATGTAAAAAATGGATGGAATTCCCCTTTAAATCAAAGTGCAATCCAAATAAGTTTATTTCTGCTCTGGACTATTAGCTAGTTTAAAGTCTAACAGTTATGTTTATTTCTAAAATTAAATGAGAGCATGTTAGCTAGCTGGCTGAAGCAGCAGTAAAGCTTATTCATGTTGCCCTGTGCGTTAAAGCGGACATGTTTTAATTTAACTTATGTTGGAATTAATTATTTTTGCTTTCTAAAAACCTTGATCATTCCCCTGTTCCCTGACTAGACTTTACCTGAGTTTTTTTTAAAGATGATAGTTAAAAGGACACTGTTTTTATTTTTTGCTCTCCTGCATCTTTAACGCATTCAAATAACACCAGTGAGTGCTGCCTGGTCGAACAGGAACCACCAGATTATTATTTTATGCAACTGTGAAAATAACTGTTTATTACTTGTTACCTTTTTCATTATGCTATAAGATAAATTCTGTTTACTTCTTTTTATCTTTGAATTTATGTTTCCTGAAGAAACATTAAATTAAATGGCACAGGGTAACGAAAAAGGTTTTCTAGAAGAATAGAGGCTCTTACTGCAGAAGCGTGGGATAAACTCCCTATCAGTACCCTTAATTTTGGAAGAAACATTGGATGAATAGGGGTCTACAAACATCTGAACATACAATGTACATGCCATACGAGTGATAACCATGACAGTTCATGCATGACATAATTTGTCATGTTACAGTAACTTATCATAATGTTTTGCTCACTCCTTCTACATATTGTAAAAAAAAATGTGAGAACTTGTTCTCATCCCTTTTTGCCATTAGGGGCCTCCTGTTGGTTTCTCTCTTTTCTCAGAAGACAGGCTTGAGAACAGTGGAACAGTGCTGTTGATAATGTTCCCTTGGTTTCTCCTCTTTTCCTGTTTGGTTCTTACAAGCTCAGAGCTTTATCTGAGAGCAACAGTCTTGAACTTTCTAGACGTCTCTATGCAAACAGGTCTACTCTCATCCACTCTCCTGCATGCTGCTCTCATAATCATTTGATCGAGTTCTCTTGGTTAATTTCTTGTTTAATTGTTTAATTGCTTGACTTTCTCCTTAACCCCTGATTAGGATGAGCCTTTTTTGCTTTGTGTTCACTTGCGCTTGTAGAACCTCCTCATGTCCTCCTCAGAGCTGCTCTACAGCCTGTGCTGCTGGTCCCTCTCGCCAAATATCTCCCAATGACATTGTCCAACAAAGAGAATGAGCCTGCTTTCATCTTTCTCTCATCTCACAAACCCTCATCTCTCTGCTCTAGTTTTCTCTCTCTTTCTGTTTTCCCTCTCTCTCATTTGCTCTCTCTCTCTCTCTCTCTCTTTCTCTCTCGCGCTCTCACTCTCTCTCTCTCTCTCTCGCTCTCACACACGCTCTCCTCTCTCTGTTTCTCTTTTTCATCTGTAGTGCTTGCTCAAAGAGGGTTTTTCATGTCTGCTCGCTCACAGCTGGGTGTGTGTTAAACCTGGGCTTGATCAAAAGACAGGCTCTTAATCTGAGGAATATGGAATGTATCATCTGCAATTTTTCAAGATGGTTCTGCGCTCACCGGCGTAGAACGTCTTTGTCATCAGAGACACAAAGTGTGATTAATTTGTTCTTTCTGAAGTCATTACGCCTATACCGCGAACATCACAGCCCGCTCTCAGCCTCAACCATAGGCGAGGCCTGCTGTACTGATTAGGAGGGCGAAGGTTTGCTGGAAGGCACAGTACTCTGTTCACACACATTCACACACCCTGCTGCTGATTCAGTTATTCTCACACACCTTTTAGAATTTAGAACATCGGCTGGTGAGATTCAAACTGCTTTTTGTTGAGTATATATATTCACTACAGTTCACTGTGTCTACATTGTATCACTTATTATTTGATGTGTACTGGAGGCTGGTTGCACTCCAGACCTCCAGTTAACTAATGTTAACTCCATTAAGTAGGTCGACATCAGAATCACTTTGTTTAATCTCAGTGAATTCTAATAGTGTCTCTAATTGGCTGCTTCAACATGAACATCGAGACAAGTTCAGCTCTAAGCCACTATGAGGGGAAAATGAATGTCATTTTCACAAATCGCCCCTATTGTGCTTTGTGATTAAAGCTGCACTATGCAATATTTTTTTTGTTAAAACTGAAAGTCAAGAGGGGAAAAAAATGAAATAGTAATTTGGAGGCAGGGATGTTGGTCGCTTTGAGTTTTTCGAACACGTCATACTCAAGGAGGAGGCCTGAACCACAAGTAACGTAAGACAATTACACGTTTCCAAACCCCCTAATTTTACATAGTGTTGCTTTAAGTGATAAATACATACTATACATTTTGTCCTATGTAAATTTTTCCTTGAATATCACTATATATGTCTTTGGTATGTAGTACATTGAAATGAAAGTCCTTGGCCTGAAAATGAAATTCAGGACACGCTGAGCCGAAAACTGAAAAAAGCTGACAGTGAATAAATACATGCATACAGTTTACGTAAAATTAACTGATGAAAATATTTCTTTATTTGAGCTACAGTATGTGCCACAAAATCCAACACCCAGAGAACAGTCCTTCATCCAAGACAATGATTTACGTTTAGTCATTGGTGAATTTTGTCGTTTTAATAACTGAGGCTACCAGAAACTTTGATTTTTGCCTCTGTTGTTTTGCTGAGGTTTGCATATCAAGTTCTGCATACTGCTACATGAGTGTGAAGGGAACAAACACCATTTTTAATCATTATTTCTTATTTACTTTATCAATACATGATTATAAATATCATTATAATAGTTGTAAGGTCTTAAATTTTGACATTCTAACCATATTTATTCTTCCTTTTTTCTCTTTCACTTAAACTGAATATACTACTTTTTACCATTAATAGTTGGAATAGTTGGCAGACTACAGATCCAGTCAATGTCATTTACCACAGGACAGGTTCGATTCAGACTGATACAAATGTGGATGATAAAAGCTCATGTTTTGATAGAATAAAGTTCAGTAACTGGTGTTGAAATGACAGAAAGCCGAAATCAAGCCAGTTCTCTTGTGTTCAGAAGTGTAACATTAACTAGCAGCTTAATTAGCCAGCCAAAAGTGAATTACCATCGTTTTTAAGTTTGAGTTTTTTTTTCTTATTGTCTCTATAATGCCCAACCCTCCTCCTCACTAATATGCAACTTGTTTAATTGGGGATGAAGATGCCTCCGGGTTTTTGGGCGTACTCTCGTCAGCTCACCCTGATTGGGCCTGAACACCTCCTCTTGACAGTACAGTCATTACGTTTGTCAAAAACAATATAGCAGAAACTGTACAGCACACAATTACCAAAGCAGCTGTTCATTACCCATTCTTACACCGCCTACAGTATCCAGGCAACAATAACTGCTGTATTTAAATATTCCCACTGTGTTTAGGCTGACAGATATTAAAAAAAAAAGAAAAAGAAACTCTTTACGTAAATTAAATTAGTTACGCTGATTGCCCAAGATTACACATCTGTACCTCATAAAACTAAAATATTTATTCTGTTTAGTTCATTTTAAATATTTTAGTGATTTATTTCAGTACGTTATAGTGCTTTTGCAGTATTTACAACTCCCACACCAGCTATGACTAGTTTACAGACTGCCCAAACTGCCACAGTTTGTCAGCTTTATAAATTCATGTATTATATCAATGCTCTTTTGTTTTGGAAAGTTCCCATGAGCACTGGCTTTCCTTTTTGTTCCATTTAAATGTAAGTACATGAAAATGTATTAGAGTTAAATGTGGAATTAAATTTAAATGTAGTGGAAATTACAGTGACCGGATACAGAATCACTAGTCCAGATTCATACACTCTGCCTTGTGGAACCAGTAGAACACAAATGGTGGGATTTTTAGAATGACTTTTATTTAAAATAGATGCGGGGTCTCAAAAGGAGATTTTGTACGCACTGATATTTTGACCTTGCTATGGTAAGCAACAGATTTTTAACAAACAAATCAAAATACACAGATAACTGTTACAATATTTTGACATGACTTGTATCTGCATGGCTTGTAGTTGTTGAAGTCAATGAACTAAATAATTCCACAGCAATTACCCTGTAGATTATCTTAGAGTGCAAACTAAAATCATGGCTCATTAGTTTTCAAGTCTGCATATGGCATATTATCAGAAATCTGCTTTTCTAGTTTAGCGTTGAATTTTAAATTTGTGAATATTTTATGTTTTCAACGTTATTTAAGGTTAACACCACATGTCATGAACAGGCTGCCATCAGTTCTTAAAGGTATAATGAACCAAATGGAGAATGTATAGTCGTATGCAAACATTTGAACACCCCCTGGTCAAATTGCGTGCAAATTCTAACTCTGTTTCTGTTTATTTGCTGAATTCAGCATTTTGGAAAAATATAATATAGAATGTGCCATAATATTTGCACAAGCCACCATCTGTGTTTTATTTTTTCCACTGTGTTCGGTTCGGCAAATAACAGTAACTGCATTAAAATGTACAGAAGTGTGTTCTTGATAGAGATGCGTCTAAACTTGTGGTCACTCACAAAATCAATAAAAACATGAAATGTTACCTGTGGCACTTTTGCATACGGCTGTATGTGTGTTTCCTACACTGCACTCTTAATTGAAGTACATTGCTTTATTTAGTGTTTTATGTTGGATAGTTACAGTCAATGCTACTACAGTGTTATGACAGTGTTATAATTCTGTTATTATGCAGCATATACTCAGTTTGACGAGTTGGCAATATTATTATCTGCATGCTATTTTTAGATTTTTTTTTTTTGTTTTTTCTTTCTTTTCTTCTTTCCTTGCTTTTTTTCCCCCTCTCTCTCTGCCTCTTTCTCTCTCTGTGTCAGCGATGGGTAGGTGGATGGAGGTGTGGCTGCAGGCCCGATGGCCTTGCTGTTGAGATTAAGTGGGCCGTGCTCCTTATTGATTTTGTGTGAGTGCCATAAATTGTGGCATGCTGCCCCTAAGCTATGGCACGTCTTGTTAAATTCTTATCTGGAATCAAGGTCTCTTCAACCTTTCCCATCGCCGGTCCTCTCCGTGTAATTGGATACATTAAAGCGAGCAGCAGCCGTACCTGGCTCGCACCAGCCTTATGAAAACAGGAATAAAAGGCCGGTTAATTCCACAGTGGAGGTGACAAAGGGGGTTGCCTCAGGACGCCTGCCGGCCTGCTTCAGAACCTGATGAGCACACCCCCTGTCAGACCGGGAGAGCTAGATGATTCTTTTAAATCATTCATCTCATTTAACCAGCCGTCTCTTAAAAACAGCCAACTTTTATTATCTCTCTTTCTCTTGCTCTCCGTTTCCCTCTTTCTCTGTTGTGAGTGCAAAGGGCACTTTCAACAGTTGTGATGGCTTTATTGGAAATTTCATGAGTAGTTTTCAGCTTTCAACTCTTTTACCCTTGTGTGTGTTAAAAGGCCGATATCATGAAAAGATACATTTTCCTTTTGAATAAAACTGATGTTGTGAGTAAACTTTATTCATGTTCCAGACATATTGTTCACACTCAAGACCGCACAATCCATATATAGAAACAAAGCTATTAAAACGGCCTATTTTGATTTTGTTTTAGTGATTTAAATACAGAATTTTTTACATGCAATATGTATTTCCTATAAAAACACTTTGTAACATTACAGTAACTATATATTAGCATACAGTCATTTGCAAATGTTTGAATACCCCTAAGCAAAAATAAGTTAACATGTCATGTACAGAGAACACACTTTTTAATATATTGAAAAAAATAACATAAAACATGAAAACTTTTGCACAGGCCACATGCTGTTTTTTTACTCACAGTATGTTCAACTCAGCAAATAAACAGTAATTATGCATTAAAATATGCAGAACTCTGTTTTCTGTAGAGGATGTGTTAATTTACTTTTGCTTAGAATATCAGTGAAACCTAATATGACCATGGGCACCCAGACTTTTGCATATAATTTCAAATACAGTAAAAAGGAACCAGACTGAACACACAACACACAAGACACAAACTCAAAATAAAATAAAAAAAAAAAAACAATGATAAGATCTGGGCCTTTTAAATGCAATATTCTGAAACACAGACATCATAACACAGTCTTTCTGTTTCTGTCCTTTAGGCCTCAGTACTTTAAGATCATAGAGGAGTGTGTGTCTCAAATTGTCCTGCATCGCAGTGGCACAGATCCAGACTTCTCCTACCGCAAGCGCCTGGATGTGGACTTCAGCCACCTTCTAGGTGTGTATGAGAGTGTGTGGGTGAGATTGAGTGTGTGTGTGTGGCTCTTTAGGGCTGACCAAAAGAGCAATGTAATACCAGTGATGTTTGACAAGTGACCCCATACTGATCTTTGAAAGACAATAATTCTGCATATTGATATCCAAATTACACATTATGATTTCTATGATTTAGAATCATAAACTTTAATCTGCGTTCAGTGCAGTTTGGAGATACTGAGTATCCTCAACATCAAATTAATGTTTAAGATGTATGTATATGTGCAATGGACTTATCATTCTTTGGCAATGTAAGTTAAGACTTCAAAGCCATTAAAAAGCTGGCAATTAGTTAACTTGCATACAAGGTTGCTAACTTGTTGTAGCAAACTCACTGCTAAAGATGACCATAGCTGATCAGTTAACTGTATTCTGAAATCTTCAACTCAGCTTTGTTAAGGTAAGAATTTAGCTAGCTAATTCAGAATGGGCACTGGTTGGATTCATTCAGAGCGTGCATTGGTTGGATTTGTTGAGAGTGGGCATTGGGTGGATTTATTCTGAGTAAGCATTGGTTGTATTCAGTCCATGCCACCTTTGTGTTTGTAAGGAGAAGAGGTAATTTATTATGGTTTGAGTTGTGGCATTATATTTGCACGTACAGTTTTGTTTTGTGGAAAGAAAATCTGTGTTTTGTATTTTTCCAGTAATTTGTACCGCCAGGAGATAAGGACTAATTAAGGCCCGGTCTTGATGAGGACTGTGTTGTTTTGGGTTTTGTTACTGACGTTCACTTTCATTCGGACTCGGTCTTGACTCAGACTAGACTGATTATGGTCGACTTTTTACCACTATTGTTTCTTAATAGATTGTTTAAAAAGTCTTAAACCTAATTTAACCTGGCTTCATAACCATTAAGCCCTCTAAACAGCCTACTACTGAGCTTGGGGACATGAGTGAAGAATTTTGACTGTTTTTTCCGCATTCATCAGCTACACCGATTGGACCGCAGATGGAACCCTATAATGGCAAATCAATATGCAATTTTCAAGAAGGATCTCTACAACACTTTTTATAAATTTTTACCACAGCAACAATAATCAGCATGAAATTATGAACTATATGTACATTACTTATTTTTGACATAAAAGGTCAGGTGGATTAATTCTTAATAATTCTAAGCCCACAATTAATTGGTAGAAAACGTATACTACTACTATTACTACTACTACTACTACTACTACTACTATGACTATTAATAATAATAATAATAATAATAATAATAATAATATATTATCAGCTTGTCTAAATTTTAAACAGCTTGCCAAATAATATAAAATAAAATTTACATGTGATATTTTTTTTCTCTTTTGCTGTTATTGACCACAAAGTAATTTAATCTTGATTGTTAGCAAGAAAATACTGTGATAATTATTTTATTTTAGATATTAATCCACGCTATCATGTTTTTTTTTTTTCTGATATGAACTTACATACTTACATAATAATGGTCAGAGTTGTGCTGTTGCTGATATTTGTGTCTTTTTTTCCAGAGGTGTGTGTGGATAAGGCACGGGCAGATGAATATGAGCAGAGAGCCTCAGAGTTGGCTCAAAAGGTAATGCTTTTCTTTTTTTCCCCTCACTTCTTTCTCTCAGTCATTTTGTTTTCTCCCCTCCATCTCTGTGTAGTTTACTTCCATCTTGGCTTCACTCAGGCTTCTTTATTGAAGAATGCACTCTTTGGAGAGCATTCAATAATGCACCATTTAACTTTCCTTAATTAAAGGCGGAGTAGTAGAAATCGTTCAAACAGCCATTTGTAATTAACAGTATCCTGAGATTAAAAGGCGACCATATTGATTATTCTGGAGTGCAACTTTGGTAATTGCAGTCGGAAAGATACATACAGGTGGAGCATGCTGGATCTGCGGTTAAAAATCAGCTGCTCTGTGGGAATGATAACAGTACACACTCATACAGAATACACTATTGCACTTACCTTTCGTTCTTCTGGCCAGGGCTTACTCTCTTTATATGTATTCCATCGCCAGCGCATTACAGAGGTTTGTAAATGGTTGTCACACAAATACACTGACATATATAAAATCACTACTTATTTATATCAATGGTATTGGTATTAATTATTATATTAGTGTTGCTCTGAACAAATAGCGACTCACATATGTACATGAAAAGAGCCACTTGGGTGGGTCGAAAAACAGCGAAGTGGAGAAAAAAGTCTGCTCATGTGCACAAGCCTATGGTTAGTGTGAACAGATATTGATGAACATGGGCACAGATCTGAAGCGCATCAAAGCACTGCTGAAGTGAGTCATGGTGTGAAGCAGGCCTCATTAGGTCACCATGTGACTAATGCAATTACAGCAAGGCTGTTCCTCTAGTCTATATTTCTTCCACTTATAGATTTATCAATCTTTGCTGCTCAGGTGCTGCAGCCTAGGTTTATTTGTAGAAATTTGTGGACATTTATGTTAGAGCAATGATAAAAAATACAATGTATCGTGCAGTCCTAGTCTGAAACACCAAATACAGTGTAGGCCTAAGTGGTATGTGGTATTTTCATAAATCTATAAGTTGTAGAAAAATAGACAAGAGGGAACAGCTCTACTGTAATTGCATTGGTCACATGGACCTAATGAGGCCTGCTTCACACCATGTCTCACTTCAGCAGTGCTTTGATGCGCTTCAGATCAGCGCCCATGTTCATCAGTATCTGTTCTCACTAGTCACAGGCTTGTGCATGTGAGGAGAATTTTTCCTCCATCTGGCTGTTTTGTTGATTCAAGTAAGTTGTTCTTTTGTTGGTTTGTAATTGAAAGTACACTCTTAAAAATAAAAAAGCCACATAGAACTGAAAGGATTCTTTAAACTTTTGGTTCCCAGAAGAAAATTTTAATAGATGGTTTGTGCCACAAATAAGCATTTTTCATACCACAAACCACTCTTTTTACAATGTTCTTAAAGGAACTCTTAATCGTTCTTCATGGCATCTTTTCAAAAGAGGTTCTTTGTGAATCCAAAATGGGTTCCACCAAGAAGCAAAAGCTTTAGATGCTTTACATACAGATGCTTCTTTTTATAGCTTTGTTTGGAAACCAAAAAACTCCAATGTAAGTGAATTATAGGAGTGACCGGACTAAACAGCAACCAAATTTCGAGCACTTTATTGCCTTTTTAAGATTAAAGGCCAAAAAATTTAATTCACTAGGGGAAGTGCGTCATGCTAGCTGATATATCTTGGTGTCTAACTACCCCCACCATTATTATTTATAGCCTTATCTCACTAATTGTCTAGTTGGCTTTTACTTTTTTGAGACACAAACCTCTGCACAGTGCTAGCTGCTTATAACATCATGAAAGTTTCACCCACAGTTTGTGATAAAATCGATAACAAAAGCAGGATGATGCATGAAAAAGGGCAATTTCTGCTCTCTCTTTCACTCTCTTGATATATTTCAATTAACCTCTTCTCCAGCAGGGCACTGTCTACAGATCAGAACTGGTCCTTTTCACTTTGACGCTCTACTTGATTTTACAGTGATTTGTTTACTCTGTCTGGTCACACAATGTACTGTTCGAAGGTTTCAGCTTTCTATCTCTGGACACCATTTTATGATCCAACTATTATTATTCAACAATAGCAGTTTTTTTTATTTTGTCACAGAAGTCGTAGTTTTTCATCTTTAAACGTCTCCTGACAATCAAGGTGTTCTGATCTAATGCCCTTCCAACTTAGTTGTGGGAGATCATGAAAAATTAAGAAATAAGAAATCTGGTCCTACTTTAAAATGCATACAGCTTACTTATATAATTATCTTTAGTCTAGTAAGATGAAGAGAAATTATTGCCTATAGACAAGAGATCAAGCATTATTTGATCTTACCACTTTATGTGTGATCAAAAGAGGTGTAGATGATGTAAATGAGATAGATAGATGTATGAGTGTGAAGAACCTTCTTAAAGTTTAAAGAAACTCTTTTCAACCTCAGATGAACATTTCACATTGTAAATGTTCTATACTAATTTAAGATTTTTGAGGGTTGTAGATCTGATATTAGCACGAGTACGTTTGGCAGTAAAAACATCTTAAATATATATGTGTGTGTGTGTGTGTATAAAGAAAAGGTACTTTATACAGGAAATGTTTTCTAACAGTCTTAAAGTTTGCAGTAGGATCTGCCCTTGCTGTACATACAGTTGGGATTTTTTTTCTTATTTTGTTAATGATCATCAAAGCACATCCTTAGAATCATGGAGGTATTTTAAAATTTGCACTTGAGTTGACATTCCGTTTAAAAGAACTGAAGAAGTGCAGTTTAATCTAATGCCTCCACTTTACAGTTTAATGAAAAAGTGAAACCAATTATAAACATATTATGAACTCCTAAATCACCCCCAAATTGACAGACACACAAACAAGCCATTTATTTGTCATATTTCAGACAGAGTTTGAATGCTTAAGAAATGAAAACAGCTACAGGCATGCGCGAGTTAATAGCATGACATCAGCATCTTCAAAAAGCTGTGTTTGCCATCCTCCCATCTTCACAAAAATAGCATTTTTGGTCACTGAAAACAAGGGCGCCTGCATATGTCTCAGACAGTTTTTTTTTAATTCATCAGTTACTGCCAGTGACATCAATATGTTGAGGTGAAAATAGAAAATAACAATGTTAATACTAATAACTTTGCATGCTGCAATCCTTGGACTAAAGTGGATATATTTTTTATGTACATACTGATATAAACAAATACCATGAATATATGTTTAATTTAAACTTAGACTTGTGTCTTATACTACTGATACAGTAAATGACTGCCTCCCTACACTACACAGCATAGCTTACCTGTTACAGAAAAAGCTACCTCATATACTATAATAATATTGCTCAGGCAGCCAGTATTTTATGATCATACTACACTATGACCACTGAAAAAGGCTACAATTTATTTATTTCACATTTGATCTTTTTCAGTCATTGTAATTTACGATCTACCTCATGTACCTATATCTACCTCAATCTCACGGCATATCTCATGGCATATATGGAAAAGAAATGAAATGTGCTTTCATTTCATAACTTATATTACCGTACAAAAACTGTATGTTGGATATATATTATATATATATAGTATATTTTTTGTACTACAAGGGGGCTACACACCTAAGATCCTAAGATTTTCACTCAACTTTGAACTTTTGTAAATGTGATGTGACAATATATGTGATTTGATTTGATTTGAATTTTAACACTAGAAAGATATTTCTATGCTTTGGCCAGTAGGGGGAGCAGCACACATCTTGCTGCACCCCAAACTCCACTAATGACCATTGGCTCATGAGCTTGCTAAATACTTTTATTTTAATAGCTCCCTATTAAAATATTCTCATGAATTAAGATGTGTTTCATGTAAACTACAGTGAGACTTGAAAGTTTGTGACCCCTTAAATTTGATCTAAAACTTCATCAGATCAGTCCTAATAGTAGATAAAGGGAACCAAATTAAACAAATAAGAAAATGATCCAATATTAAATATCTGTGGGTGGCAAAAATATGTAAACCTTTGCTTTCAGTGTCTGATGTTACCCCCTTGTGCAGCAATAACTGCAACAAAATGTTTACGGTAACCGTTGCTTGTTCTTGCACATCGGCTTGGTGGAATTGTAGCACATTCTGTTATTTTTGTGGGTTTCCTCCGATGAACTGCTTGCTTCAGGTCCTTTCGCAACATTTCTATAGGATTAATTTCAGGACTTTGACTTGGCCATTCCAAAATAATAAACTAAATTACGATAAACTAACAAAGTGACAAAATGAAAACACTTTTTTCATTTTTGATCGACTTTAAGCTCAAAAAATTCGAGTTTGCAGGTTTAGAGAATATCTTGTTGCTGTCCAAAGAAAAACGAGTATCTCCAAAATGGTACCTTTACAGGAGAGGACAAAAATGTTCTTTACCTTTGATGTAAGTTATTGTAAAGACCTTCTGTTACACCCTATTGTGAAGCATTTCTAGTAGTCCAGTGATCATGAAAATTCCACACATTGTAAAGGGCAGCTGTTCTGATCAAATGATGTAGAAAAATAAAAATGATAGGAAAAAAATGAAGATACTTGTTTTTTTTTTTTGTTTTTTTTTTAGCAGGGACAGTATGGACCAAATGTAGTGTGCAATTTCAGATATGGACAACAATGGGTTAAATAACTTGCATACCTCAGAAATATCCACATATATGGCATGTCCTTATAAAAAGAAGATCTAATGGCAGTTCTGACCTGCAGTTTGACGAAGAGCTGATGGGCAGACAGGACGCCATGGCCCAGCTGCTGAAGAAGGAGGAGAAAATCAGTGAGCTGGAGGCAGAGCTGCAGGCCTTTAGATCTCAGGTAAAGCCTCTTTGTCTCACTCTTTCCATCACCTGTCACTGATTGTGTAACCATTTAGCATCTACTGCATGTGTATCTCTCTCTTTTATCTCTCTTCTCTCTCGTCTCTCAGTTCTCTTTCACTGTCTGTCTTTGTTACCTGATCTCTGATTCATGTTGTATCTTGAGCAGATAAGGGCCAATCACAGCACTCGTTTGACATTAAAAGTTGTCAGAGGTACATCGTCACAGTAAAATGATGATCCAATAGATACAGTGAACTTAAGTGACAGTGCCTTTACTGAGGAAATATGCAAATAATTGTGCTCCTGCTTCTAATTGTCTTTGCACAGAGGCCGAATGTTTGTTTTGTTGACAGCAAACAAGGATTACTTTTGAAATGAAAATTCAAATATTGTTAAAATTATATGTTGTTATTTAATGATCCTCTCAAAACCAAAGATGTAATACCTTAATTGATTTGTTTATTGACAGACCCTGAAAACATCGACAGTCCTTGTTTTTCAGGCATAAGGATTGATTTCAGTTTTAAAGTGATTTTCAATTTAGAAGAGGAACTTGTTTCAGAAAGTATTGCTTTAATGAAGCAGTTCTTTCTGCTTCTGCAAGAGACTCACACAGACACACAGTTTTACCAGAGTTAATTAGCCTGTCAGTGTTGTTTTCTCCAATTGTTTGTGTTATAAACATGCAAGTAGCATAGATCTAGTGTGTCTAAATTTACAGTGTTTACAAAATGGCATTATTAGTAGATGATGATTGCTGCGTGATTATCTATTTTATTTTTATGTCTGGCAGTTTCGCGCATTCCATAGTTAGTCTGCCAGTCTGAATTGGACACCTGCAGTGGTCAGGTTATTGCATTGCTCTTTTCTGTTTTTCAATCTTAATCTGTAGCTGTGATCAATATAGCTTTGGCCCTTTACCTGACAATAGGTTCAACGTTGTTGCTTTGGTAACAGGAGTTTTTTATTTTTTTTTCCCTGAGAAGAATAGATGCTGTAGCTGGTTTTGTGAGCTGCAGCCAGACTCTGGCTCTTCTCTACAGGATAACGCTGCCCTGTCCTCTAGGCAGGGGCAATCTTAGTGATTCTGGAGCCTTAGGCAACAGACAGAAATGGGGCCCCTGGATGCACATCTTTAAATTCGTGACACACCTTTATGCACTGAAAAATATCCTGACAATTGAAATTTTTTTAAATCTAGTCGTTACATCTAATATATCTCATTTTGAGATGCTCTAAAAATATAGTTTAGAGTACTTAACTCATCTTACGTTCGCAGATCATTTTGCTTGTTTTTTTAAAAAAAAAGCTTAAAATGAGTATCTGTTAATATAGAGAGATACTTTGGTTATTTTGATATCATAGAGTACAAGCCTTCCTGTGTAGCCTGGCTTTCTAGTCTCAAGAGTCAGGACTTATTTTGCTTCCTGACCCTGGATATGTTAAAAACTAATGTCTTGGGCCAAAAATCTCAATATCTTGAGATTTTGTCACTGCTTTTTGAATATGAGGCATTCTGGATATTGATTTTATTGTAAGTTGACCTTGTGATGCTATATAGTTTTCTCAGTCATTTTAGATTATGTTCACTTTACTGGCTGAAGTGGCACAATCCGGCTGGTCAGTCTGAATGGTTTGTGAGATCCAATTGCTGATTAACTTATTTTCTACAAGGCCCTTATGGCAGCTTTACAAATGACTTGGAGAGCAGTTTCAGACTGAATTTAACGATCAATAGAGCGAAGGGATTAAATTCCGGCGTCATCGTCAGACTAAATGGCCTTAAGATGTCCAATTCAGTGGCTGTTGCTGTTACTGCTTGAGTGCTTAAAATGCTTGACATTTTATGGAAGGTTTTTTATTTATTTATCTACTTTAATTTTAAGCATCTTATTAGGTGGTTGTTGTGTCTTGTGACAAAGACTCGTCCCTTCTTTCTGTCCTCAAGCTTTTCTTTATTCCTGCACCAGTTGATCCCCCAACCCTTAGATTGACGTGACAAATAGGGCATCAGCTGAACAGTTTGTTTGATCAATTGCTTTTTGGCTCACTAGGCCACCGTCAGTAGAACCGATCAATTGTTAAATAATGGAGCCTGATGAGTGAAGTGAAAGTTTGGAATGCAGGCAGTTAAACTGATCCATCTCTTCAGGTTGCAATCGTTTGCAGCGCCGCGAAACCGTAATCAGCCAGTCGATGTCCCAGATATATAGTGCCGTCATTCATTCCGCTTCTTTGGCTGTGAATTATCTCGAGACCAGCATGCGTAGTGTTTGAATTAGAGCATCCACATGTTCAATAAATTCTTCCCTGCAGCTGTACTCCATTCAGAATGAATGGAGTGGTTACACAAGAGAGTTACATATGGCATTTCTTGTTTTTGCCATGCATTTGGGTGTTTGAAGTGGAGGAGTTTGAAGCAGGAGGGGGTCGTGCTCTTAATAATCTTTTTAGTCTATCCATCTGGTTAGTGCTTCTATCTGAAGGGGCCCTTTTCATCTTTGATCTATCCATAATATACCCTTATGATTATGATTTTTGTTTTGTCATCTGTTAGTTTAGCTTTTGAATCAGAAATTGTAATATGGCCAAGGCCAAGGCTTTGCTTTGACTTTAAAGGGAATTCCACTAGTTTTAAAAAATTCTGCGTTATTGAATCATTATGATATAAACAAAGTCATTCAGAGTGGTTTGGTGAAAATGGTGCATTGTAGAGAAACTTGCTAACAATTTTCTTTGTTGATAGGAACCAGGAGTTGTGATGGCTACATTTTATATGTAATGTTACTAACAGCAAAGTTGGTACATTCCTGTAGGGACTATTTTGCCTTATAATGGTGTGCATGTACCTCTTCACCATAAATACTGTTAAAAAAAATACTTTTTAGGTCAAAATAGTATTTCCAAACTATTGTAAACAGTGTCTTGGCCATCAAGCCACCATATTGGGTTATAGCTTTGGTACTTATTGGGGCCTGTAATAGCTAGAGGCCCCTATGAATAGCAATTAGATCATTATTGAATTATTAATGGTTATTGATAGTTAATAATTATGAACACTTAATAATGATTATTGATTGCTTTTGTGCAAATAAATATGTAATATTTTATATTATATGAATCATTCTACCGAATTGGTTCAAAGTGTTCAAAACATGGTCCTGACTTTTAACTGACTTGGACTTTAGACTCAAGTCCTTGCTTTGAACGACTCTTAACATTAATTATGTTTTTTCTTAAAACTAACAATTGAACATTCCATTTTGTCGCTACCAAAGCCTTTCATAACATTACTAAATCGTTACTAAATGTTTTGGTAGTGACTGTTTCACTGGTAACAATTTTAACTTATTAGTACAAAAGTACTAATTTAGTACATGTCTAGCAGACACAGCTTCAAACAGCTGTACACACATAAAATCATAACATTTTTCATTAAATCACATAAAAGTTTATTTAATTGCAGGAAATATGTGTTTCGGTAGGGACAGTTTTTAAAGATGCACATTGTTTTTTAGAGTTTGGGACACATTTAACAAACTAATGGGATCTAACTGCTCACCATGTGGCCGTGAGGGACAGGGATGCAGTCTCACTTTCTGCTCTGAAGTGCAGGGGTGTGGCGAAAATAAGGCTCCTCTTATGGACTTCTCTGTGTTTTGGTAGTGACTTGAAATTATGGGACAACATTTTTCAATTTTTTTTAATCAGAAAATTAAACTCATGATAACTCTAAATTTTTCAACTTTTAAAAGAAATAAAGATTTATATGAAAAAAGTATTATACAAAAAATACAAGTATTATTTTGACAAATTAATATATGGGGTTTAGGGTTTGGGACAGTCACCTCAAATTGAAAGTAGCCTATTAATGATGATTTTGTACGTATATAGATCATCGATTGATCATAACCTAATCCTTGCAAATATCTAAGGTCTGAATACTTATTTGTTTTTTGAAATAGTTACATGTTTTGGACTACAGTTTGACCTAATTTGCTAGGTCCATTTAATATTTGAATGATCAAATAACTAAATAGTTATTAACAAAATAAGATTTTTACAGTAAAGAACAATGGCTTATTAGGGCCTTTTATTATAAAGTGTACCATAACTTTCTGTGAACTTTTGGAGGCATTCAAACATCTTTTGACCAACTCTGACTGAAGTATTTCAAAAATCGTGTGTTAAACATCAAACCACTTTCAATGACTTTGTTCACATCTTCACAATTTAATTGTGCAGAAATTTAGAAAAATTCCTTCAATTCACCTTCTAGGTTTTCTTCCTTCACCCTCCTCCCTCCATCTCTCCCTCCCTCCCTCTCTCCCTCACAATTTAATCATAGCATATCATAATCAAGTAGATATGTTCCCTATTGTTTAAGCATGGAGTGTATTGAGTTATAACTAAATGAGTTGAAAGTCTGTTTCATGGTGCGACTTTTGATTATATCTACAACATTAAACACGAGTGAAGCATACATGTATTATTTATTAACTTCATTCTCTTTCTCTTATTTCCCTTGTGCAGTTTGGAGCAGTGCCGGTGGGCATACCTACAGTGCAGTCTGTCCCAGCCTTGTCGTCTTCGTCATCTTCATCATCTTTTGCCCCAGGGGCCCCTCCTCCACCCCCTGTTCCTGGGGGTCCAGCTCCGCCACCCCCACCTCCTCCCCCGCCCCCACCAGGCTGTGCCGCCATGCCCGGAGTGCCTCCTCCTCCTCCTTTTGGCATCCCTCCCCCTCCTCCGCCAGGTCTGGGGGGCCTGATGTCCTCCCCCACCCACCATGTGCTGCCTTTTGGCCTTCGGCCCAAGAAGGAGTTCAAGCCTGAGACCACCATGAAGCGCCTCAACTGGTCCAAGGTAATTTTCCTGTCTGATGATGATGATAGGTTACAAATGCTACTGTATCTATGAATTGGGAAGTGAACTGCAACTTGGTTGTGTAAACTGCTGAATAGAGTTAAAGCTCTTCATCCCTTAAAATCTGGAGCTATTATTATTATCATGCTATACTTTACATAATATATATGTACATAAAGTATAGTTAGGTAATAAACTGTATTTACATTCCGTATGGACAGACTCCAAGCTATACCTTCAAATTTGTTACGAAATGACACAAAGACCAAAAGTGTAAATTTTGGTGTTTCTTTCCACGAAGGAAGACTATATACACCACAAGTTTTTTATCAAACTTCAACAGCACTGCTGTGTCTGATTCACTTGTACCAGCACAACACACCACCACCACCTCAGTGTCATTGCAGTGCTGAGAATGATCCACCACTCAAATAATACCTGCTCGGTGGTGGTCCTGTAGAGGTCCTGACCAACAGAGGTCCAGACTGAAGAACAGAGTGAAAAGGGGGCTAACAAAGTATGCAGAGAAACAGATGGACTACAGTCTGTAATTGTAGTACTTGCAAGTGTTCTTATGTGGAAAGTGGAGCTGATAAAATGGACATTGAGTGTAGAAACAAGGAGGTGGTTTTAATATTATGGCTGATCTGTGTATTTCCAGCTACTGTAATGACGTAAATTTATCACTGAACCAGTTTGAGTCTGAAGTGTCATTTACAAGCAAAACTGCTAATGCCAACAATATCAGTAATATCAATTACATTAGCACTGGAGGACACCTTCATCGGACTACACTGGACAGTGCTTACAGGAGGACTATCTATAGATCAGTGAACAGTAAACTACCAAACCGTGTATTTTAACGCTATGAGAGCGAGAGGCTACGATCTAGAAGGACTTGGTACATGCAGCCGCTGCTGCTCTCATTAGAAGTTTTATATGAAAATAGGTTTTCTTTAGGATCTATTTAGAAGAAGACAAATGTGATTAATTACAATTACTATTGTAATTGGTAACTATACATACTAATGTGATTAATTGTGAATTATTTTACTGGTTTGACAGCCCTAATAAAATTACACCATAATTTTGTTATTGCTGGGTACACACCAAGCACAGTTTATTCGCATGATTTATTTGGGTGACAATAAATTCATCACAGGACATGTATAACTGATGATATCGAACACTCCAAAGGCGATTTTTCGGACAGCGAAAATGCGACATTATTTTATTCGCCCTCTGTTTCACTTTTGCGAGCTTTCGGCAATGACATGAAAACACTGACTGATTACAGTCGTCTCTGGTGTTGGCATGGTGATAATCAAACTGACACATCAGCTGTGTCCCTGGACTTTTTTGCAAAATGTCAAAAGCATTAGAATCTCCAAAAGCAGCTCAAACAGGGCCCAAGCATTCTAGTTATAGGTGGAAGCATCCAGAGTGGTACAGTATAAACACCCAACTGTCCATACTACTTTAATTTTTAAAAAATGCAAAGTAGCCCACCCAGCATAATAGTTTCCCCATTATGAGAAGAGCAAAGCTCTCTTTTTTGCACTTAAAGACATTCCGCACATTTGTTTTCGGCTCAATCAGCTCAAACTGAGTAATGGAGATCCCAGGCGTGAGTAAAGTAGTTCATAAAGTTTTAACTCCTGAATAAGCAAAGAAACTCTTGGTTCTCCTTTCACTTTCCAAAGTGGAAAGCATTCTGCAAAATGTCACTGTTTGCCCCTTTTGCCAACCTGGCAAAATTCCCATCCAGTGTGTATAGTTTTGATGCAATAAAATTACGGCAGAATATTTGGTGTGTAATGGCCTTAACAGAGAACCTAAGAGATACAGAACAAGTGTAAAATGTCAACCCTTTTTTAGCTTCTTATTGTAAGCACACTCCACCTGAAACCATTCCACAACCTTACTCAATAACCTTCGCACAAACTCCCTCCCTCAGCGATGCAGCGTAAAGGCAACAACAATACAAAAGGACAGCTGTTAGCGAAGTGACTGTGAAGAAAACTTCTGCTATTCGGTGCCAAACATCATTAAATAAGAGCTCTAACTTCCCCGTAAAGGATCAAAAGCTATTGTCAGATGGCCTGTTGTGCTTCCTCAGCAGATGTTGCCTTGCATTCTCTTTGGAGTGATATTAGTTTGCAATATAACTATTAATATTTAATCTCTGCCCCCTTTGCAGACGTTATACAGATGTTCTTAAAAAGTTAGCCATATGTTTTGTCTCATCTGAAACCTGTTGGCAATTAACTGTTAGGAGGACACAGCTGTAGCCGATGCGTAAGACATACAATATTCATGATTTCTATCCCAAAACTTTCATCTCTTGTTTAGCAAGAACTGTGGTTTCTACTGGTGAACTGGTGGATGTTGGATTTTTGGAGAAGTAGGTTACCTGCATAGGGACTTCATTACATGAGCATAAGCAACTTAAGGTCTCCTGTCAAGTTCCATTACTTCGTAAGTGTTGTAAAGGGGCTTGAAACCAGTACAATATAATTTATATGTCTGTTCATAAGTACTGAAGTATTACTTTTTAAATAGTAGAGATCAGCATTTTGTGAGGTTGTTTCCAATTGTCGATTGTTCTTTACCACGATCGCCTGATGCCGATTCCGATCTGAGGCTGGAACGGGGTGACCTGACAAAACTGCCCAGGCAGAAACACCAAACAGTTTAAATTGGCTAAACAAAAACATTGAAAACAGTGCACTCTCTGATGAGTAAAAAATAGGGGGTCCCCTAACAGCTTCTTCTAGATTATTACAGTACTGTAATGTAGTCTGTGATGCTTGAGTGAGGGGAAAAAAGAGCAACGGTTTAATCTTGTCTCAGTAAGAAGAGTTGCATCTGGAGCCAAGAAATGGGGAAAAAAAAATTATGAGGAGAAAAAACTTTTTTTTTGTGGTGTGAGCATTATATTTATTGCGTGTTGTAGCATGTTTGACGACAAGAATCTGAGGTCTGTCTAACGAAGCAGTCAACATGGCTGTTAACTTAGACAAGCTTTCTGACTAATTTTCAGCTTCACAAAACCTAACAAATGCAGACATGGTTAACTTGTTCTACAACGGCGATTAACAGCCGTCTCTGTCAATCCAGATTTTGATACTTGGGCTGTGATTAATCATCTTGCATCTGCACATGTAAGCGAGGTGTCTGACAAACAGCGAGTCGAAAAAGAAGGAAAACGGAGTCTTAATAACTAAATATGTGGAAATTCAATAAGAAAGCATAGCTGATGCCACTGCTACCAGGGTTAGATCTAAGCCTAAAGTTAGTTGGGTAACAATAAATACTGCTTTGTGAGACAGATCCCTGCATCAGGAATACTGAAAAACTTATTTGTAATAATTAAATTGCAACTCATTACATATCCTCTAATTTTACAGCATATCAACTAGCAACATGGGGGCCTCCAAAAAACTTAGAGCCCCCAAAAAGCCAGAGCCAGTCCTGATTGCTACAGACTCCTGTGAAATAGGTGCACTCTTACATCTTCATGGTCAAATGCTTATACAGACACAAGTTAAACATTTAAGCGATTGCTGCAGCAAACTCAGAAGTCGGCAGTATCCATACTGCAATCTCACAAACTTCAAATGTTTTCAGACAGAAAACAATTTTAGAAGCAAGATCAACTATTTTAACACAGAAGAGCAACATGTTGTGGCCACCTGGCTGTGCACCTGACTCTGGCTTACCGTTGAGCAACAATGGCAGATTTTCTTTCACAAAAAGAAACATTTTGGCTTTCTGACACGGCAGTCTGTTCCTCCTCTTGTTCAAGTTATCTGAAGCAGTGCTGAACAATCTTTTGCTGTTTATGCTTGTGCAATGTGCAGAGAGGTATCCAGTGACATTGCCAAGACTAAGAAAGCCCTTATAGGCTTATAGAGTCTAGTAGTTATACACTTGAAATGCGATGTGAAATAAAGGGGATTATGGGTCTGAGACACCCTAATTAACTTTTTGGACCCCCTGAATGTCTCAAAATCAAAATTTTGGCACTGGTCCTTGAAAATAAAGGTATGCTGTCCATTAGGAAAAAATGCATGCTCAAATACAAATTCAGGAAAAGGTCATTGTTTAACTGCTTTACCCACATTTGGCGATATTCTGTCTTTGGTATTCTTACTGACTAGAGATGCAGCACTCGTCTGCCTCAAGGTCATGCTAGATTCTGTCACTCACGGTACTCGGTTGGATGACATACTCAAGTGTTGTATCTGGTTAATAGTGTTAAAAGTTAAAATGGTGTTTATTGTGCTTCCCTCAAGAGCAACGTTAGTTTTTCAGACCTTGCAAATAATGCTGTGGGTCAGATAAAGAAATCTACAGGACAGAGCACCAAAATTTGACTCACATTTTTTTGTCATTAATCATGTCACTGTCGGCCAAATTAAATGAATATCAGCTGGTCGCTGATGGCATATTTAGACTGAAAATAGGCCAGTTCCGATCTATAGCCAATCAATCTTTCCATGCCTAATAAATACATTATTTAATGTTTATGCATGTGTCATGAAGTCCATATACAGGTAGCCTTCAAATAAAATGTTGATGAAAAATGCCAGCCCACAGAACAAACCATCAGGAAGTTTAATAAGGATTGCTCATCTTAATTGCATCTCACTTGGTGCTACAAGCAAACTTGGCATCAACTGATGGCTCAAAATGAAACCACATGGGCAATTGAAGTTCTAATTTGTTGAGGGGATCTTTTCTGGAATCTGCACGCATAAGACAAATAATTGTGAGTGAGTTACAAACAAACAACAAAACTGCAAACTAAAGACTGTTTGTTTATACTCAGAGCTTGCATTTTTAAACTATCTGCTAACATGAGAAAAGGCAGATTATATTTCAGTAACGGTTCAGTAAAGACTACATTTATTTCTTAGTAAATTCTGTGATTGTGCAAAAACACAGTGATGTTTTCATTGATAAGTAAAACAGCTGAGCATGGCACAGGTGCGCGGGTGGTTCATTAGAACGTCTTCAGCTCATCGATCCTACTCTCAATCTTTACTGTCTCTTTTGTCTGAAGTGCAACACTCCATAAAATTGATTATCCCGCACAGCTCCCGTCTCGCTTGTTTCCATGGTTTCTCACCACAGTAACACAAATCAGCATAGCCATTAGACACTGTTCCTACCTTAGTGCTGACCTTAAATACACCAGGGACTAATATAGTTCTGTTTCTCTGAGGCATCACGTTGAATTACCTGATGAATATCACAGATTTGATGAGCTGTTTTTGTTGTGTGAATCTTCATCACGACATAAGTTTTCTCTTTTTCTACATGCTTCACTGCTTAGAATTTGTTTTTGATGTTGTGGCCTTAAATGTGAGAAAGTATGAGAAGTGTATTTATTTATTAATTTATTTTTAAATAATTAAGTCATTTTTGTACTTAGAGATGGCTGAAATAATGCCACTTTTTCTTTTTCAGTACCAATACTCCAACATTGAGTATCGGCTGATACTGATACGATATTTGTTTTTTTAACTTTTACTTCTTTTAAACATCTTTTAACTTTTTCTTTTAATACTACTAAGCTTTAAAATGAGCTAACTAATTGGTGTTGCATAAATAATTACCAGTACAGACAGAAATACACTTGAAAACATACCTTATTTTTCAAAAATTGGAGAAAATTGGTAGGGTTTTATGTCTGATGAGTAATGGATGCTGTTTCAGATGAGCTAATGAGCAGCTAACCAGTAAAACACTGGATGCCTGCCATCTTTTTATTGGTGGTCATTTGTTCTCGGTAGAAAATGTGTCAACATGCAAGTTTGTCAGAGAAATATATTTTTGCTGTTTCTGGACCTAGATAATATCAACTGGAGTAACTCACTTACACATTCGCAATAAAGCCGTGCTTTCTCTTCACTCTCAGTCTCGTCCTTCAGTCATGACCTTGGCAACACTGTCATGTTGTGTTGCAAAGTATAAAATAATACATACAGTTGTATGCCAACATTTGATTACCCTTGGTCAAATGACATGTTTTGTTGATTTTCTAAGTGAAAAGTATAAGTATAGCATATTGGTGAAAAAAAAACAACATACAGCATAAAACGAAATCTTTTACACAGGCAATATTTTTGTTTTTTATATTAAATTTAGTAACTAATAATGATTTATGCATTGAAATATGCAGAAGTGTGTTGTCTGTAGAGGATGTTTCTTATTCTTAACAATGCTTAAATTGACTGGGACGCCCAAACTTTTGACTGTACCTCCTCGCAAATGAACACAGAACAGTAATGTTAAAACATAAAACTTCCATTTATGTTTTGTCTTCCAGTGATGAAAAATAATGGAACAACCGGAAAGTCATTTCAATGTTTGAATATTTCACTTTGAGAGGTTAACCGAGTACTCAGTGACCGTGCACATCTCTAATGACATACGTGTTAATGACATAGTAGATCATAGCAGATGCCACGACTATTACCACTAATGGTAACATGACACTGTTACATTACTCAATAAACTCTGTCATGACAACTTATAAGAGACATGTTTATGGCATGGTTATGTCATTGTTATGTAGCAAGGTTCAAGTAAAGTGTTTCCACTTGTTTTGATGCTTTTTTTTATTGCTTTTCTGAAATACATTGGTTGATCATTCCTCATCATCCTAAACTCTTTCATGTCCTCTTACTCTCTCACTCTGTCTTTACACCTTTTGCTTTCTATTCATATAGTCATGCTGGCTCTTAAACTATGATTCTCAATTATGCCTTTTATTTCTTGCTTTCGGTCTGCCTGCTTTGTTTAGGCATGTGCGTGTGTATATGTGAGTAGGTAGAAGGGGCTGCGCTGTGTTGTTTGAATAGAGCACTCTTCCGTGTTGGAGTACACTGAGAGAGCTATAGATGAAGCACTTAAGGGCCACATTCAGCTGTCATAGACATGGGTGTAGACAAGAGTCCGAGCACGGGAGGAGGAAAAAACCCTGTTCTGTAGCACAGTATGAATATTTGAGTAGATATTCCTTTTATTTTTTCAGAAGCCTCCCATCCCTGGCTTGTATGTTTGGATTCTTATGTTGCCTAGCAACCCCCCTTTGACCTCCTAGCCAGAGGTGGGAGGAAGTGGATTGGCAGGTCATAATTTCCCTCCTTTTGTGTGCGCGTGTGTGTTCTTGTGTAAATGCATGTGTGTCTGACTGTGTACATGCATTTGCGTGCACACATACACACATACACACATACATGTATGTACGTGCTCATGTATTCATGTATCTTGGGTGTCTGTGTTGTAGATCCGTCCTCAGGAGATGTCAGAGAACTGTTTCTGGGTCATAGTGAACGAAGACCGCTATGAGGATAAGGATTTGTTGGGCCGCTTGGCTCTTACCTTCGGATCACAGAGAAACGGTCAGTTTATCCATACCCACACTCCAACACAGTTCCACACGCTTTCATATCTACATACTTGGACACATTCTCCCCATGCTGGCCCAAGTTGTGCACAGACCACCAGAACCCAGTAGATCAGCTCTGTTATCTCCGTATGGATCATTTTACCGAAATTGGTTCAATTTCAGAGTTCAAAACACATTTGGACTTTTAACTGACTTGGACCCTATACCTTAATTATGTATTTTTAAATATATTCTTGTTTTTTATTAAAACACATTATTGAAGATTCCATTTCCATATAATCATAACGCTACAAACGCTTTGCTAAATGTTTCAGTAGTGACAGTTTTGGTAGAGACAATTTCAGCTAATCGTGAGCATAACTCAAAAACGCTAGCCAGTACATGACTAGCAAACACAGCTTTGAACAGTTGTAGACATATAAAATCATAATATTTTTAATTAAAACATAAAGTTTACATAATTTCACAAAATATGTGTTTTGGTAGTGACCATTTTTTCAGTGTCACACACTGATTTTCAGACATTGAGGCACATTAACTTCAAAACAATGAGATGTAATTGCTCACCATGTGGCCATGAGGGACAGGGATACATTCTGACTACCTGCTCTAAAATGCAGGGGTGTGGGTATGTTTTGATCGTCCAATAAAATTGTAGGACAGCAATTTTTGGATTAATCAAAATTTTTCAACTTCACTTAAAAAGATATTTATATTATCACTTAAATGATATTTATTAAAAAAATCTTGAAAAATTAAGTATTATTTTTAAAAGGGAAGATTTAAGATTTGGCACAGACAGTTTGTAATAGAAAGGACCCTATGAATGATGACTTTGCGTATACCGTATTTAGCTTTTTGCTTTCTCAATGTCTAAGGTCTAAATATTCAGTATATTTTTAGCTAATTCGATAGAATGGTCCATATAGCCCTTAACTTTTGACAGGCAAAGTATTGTAGACTATTCAAAAGTCGTGTTTGTCAAACCACAACAAATTAAATATTAAATACAGAGCTGTTAAGATCTTGCCATATTCCTTTGCAAAAACAACTGAGAAAAATACTACCTTGGAGTGCCAAACTCATTTAATGTGCTTGCTGTGATTTCAGCCCTTGTCAGCACTCAAACCTTTTAGGTGTTTAAACCACCATTGAGTCAAAAGATTAAACAAAATGTGCTTTTAACAATAGTTTAAAAAGGCAAACTGTCATTCATTACTCAAGCAAAATCTGCTCTTCATACCATGAAAAAAGACACTTATGAACATGAAACTGAGCTCTGCAGAATGTGCACAAAGTATTAGCAGATAGTTTCATGTTAACACTTTAAGGCCAACCAAAAAAAGGTGCTGTTTCTGCTATTTCATTTACTCCAGTACTCCGTTCTGAATACTGCTGTTTGGGTGTATTTGGTATGGAAAGAATGTGATCTACCGAAGCTAAAAAATCTGAATTTTTTATGTAGTATGTGTCACAAACTATCATTTTGAACAAAAACACATGAACAGGAATAAAGTCACACATCAGTTGTGCTTCACTCTGATTAAACAAATCAGTAATGAGCACTTACCGATCTAAAGTCCATTCTGGTTGAGCTTATAAACTCCCTTGGGGGGAAAATGTTGCATGAAGAAAGGAAGCCCTGTGCTTATTTTGTACAGCAATAGAAAACACAGTAAGCACACAAAGCTCTGGTTGTGAAATTGATCAAATGGCTTTGCTGTTGCCAGTCGGGGCACTTTTTTGGCTCATTTGGGTTCATGTGGTCAAATACAAAGCTGTTTAGATCTTCCAATATTCTTTCGTAAAATCTGCAAAACTGAAAGAATAGACGAAATTACTAACTTGGGACAAATGCCAAACTCATTTTATCCCCTTACTGTGATGTTAGCACCCAACAGCACTCAAACCTTTCAGGTTTTAAAACTGCCCTTGAGTCAAAAGATTTTCAAAATGTGCTTTTAACAGTACTTTGGAAAAGAAAGCTGCCAAATCATTATTTAGGTGAGAGCTGCTCTTCCTGCTATGGAAGACACTTGAGCATGAAGCTGAGTGCTGGCTGCAAAATATGCTCAAAGATTTAGTGAATAATTTTATGTTAAAACCCTTTGTAGATGTTTTTTCTTACTTTAAGTGTCCATATCATATGGAAAAATGAATGTCCCTCACTGTAGGCTGAATAGGTGGACAGATGTAAATTGACTTGGTACTTGTGACATCACAGAAACAATGAATTCAGAAGGGGCTGTACTTGCAGCTTAGTTTCCATGGGCGGACTGTAATGACTGGGTAGTGAACTATATGTTTTGAAACTTTAACAAAGCTTCAAAAACAGCCCCTTCTGGATTCATTGTTTCTGTCATGTCACGAGTGCCAAGTCAATGTACTTCTGCCCACCTATTCAGCCTACAGCATTCATATTGAAGTTCTAAGGAGCGTTTCAGCTCTTAGTTCTTATTGAATGAGTCACGACTCAAGCCATTCAAAACAGACCTCGTTTATCTTATATATAACAGATGTTGGAAAATGGTCATGTTGAAATGGATTATGGCCATTTTTGGTATATAAAACCACACAAATGTTATTAGACAACTAAAATACAAGAAACATATAGGGAATGGGCCCTTTAATTGAAAAGTTACAGTGAAAATGAAACACTGACTAAATGCCAAAAACTTAAAAAAAGATTTTAATTCAAGGCAAGATGCCCTCAAACTTTTGACAGGCAGTGTAATTTCATTCGCCCACCCCTGGTAGCACTTCACACCCCTTTATTTGCACCCCCTTATAAATTACTATGTCAAACATAGACAGACAAGCCAAGCACAATTTGTTACAATTAAACATTTTCTCATCTTTATGCTGTTACGCTGAGTGACATACAGCCAACATGTGAGCTGGAAATCGGGATTGAAAAACCGTGACGTGCTCTGACTTCATAGCATCCTGGAACAAATCTTACAGCAGCTAGCGTTTGACTGAGGTGTGTGAGTGAGTTTGACTGCTTGTGAAGAACGCTCCTTTCTTCCAGTCTCCTCAAAATGACAGGATCCTGATTAGCCTGAGTCCCTGTAATTAAGCAGTGTCACACAGGAAGGGAAGAACACGAAAAAAAAAAAGTACTCAAATGTGTGTGTGTTCTTCTGACAGTTAGGTACTAAAACAGGCGAGTCTGTGGGCGTGTGGAGTGCAAGAGTATGATTTTGTGTACTCTTTTAAGCTATTAAAAATCTGCCTGTCTTCGTGTGTATTTGTGCCTCTGGGCCCTGTTGGTATTACTCTTCCTGTTTCATTGCTTTTTTTAGGGAACCAATGGCTGTGGGTGAAAATATGTTAATTTGTTTTGGTGCTCTTGAATGCTGTTTAATACTAAAAATGGATTTTACTCTCCAATATAGTCATGTCCAGTTGTTCCCACTAGCTACTTTTTCCCCTGTCACACAATGCTACCAAGGTGGGAGGGTGAAAGCTTCTTTGTGTGAGACACATGACAACAGCTATGGCATCTTTTCAAACTGCGTGATGTAATTGGACGACTCAACACACTTGGAGGAGAACACCTACTGCTAATTCTGTGACATTAGCTAACAGATGCCCATGATGGTTAGTGTCACGCTAAGTGATAGGGAACAGGGAGCAAGACCAATTGGTCTTTGGCTACAGATGGCTGTGGCATCGGCAGGGATTGAGCTTGTGGTCTTATGGCGATAGGAACTGTACTTAATGGAATAGAGGGGTATTGATACTAGATGTTTGTGACAGTATTAGGCTGTTGAGGCATCAAAGCATCTGAACCTGACTGGTTTCTCTAGTCTAAATTAGTACTTGACCGATATATCGGTTGGCCAAAAATATCAGGCTGATATTGACAATCCACAATTTAATTAATATCACAATAAATATTGCAGATTACACCCGAGTAATTCACCGTCCAATTAAAGCTACATTATCTAAGATTTGGAGGAAATGCGCAGAAGTAATGTCAGCTGATAGAGCAAATAGATGAATCTGATGATAATAGCAAGTGCACTGAAAGAGTATTCAGTATTCAGGACTGAGTGAAGAATGTGTCTTCCAAGGATGAGTGAATTCTTTACTATTGTCATCATATCTTCATCAGTATAAAGTTAATTTTGCATTTGAGACCTAAACATCAAGCCAGACCTTCTTTTTGAGTCTGTGCTTATGATGTTAATACATAAAGACATATGATGTTCTCCAAAAAAAATTGTGTGAAACCTTAACTGACTCCTCTGGCTTTTAAATAGTTATTTCATGCTTCACAGGGAGCTCGCAGCATCACACACCATATTTTAGCATGTTTTTTTTTTCTTCAGGATTAATCCTGCTTCTTTCAAATTTAACAAAAAACTTATGTAGTGCAGCTTTTTTCAGCTTAGTTTCCATATATGGACTGTAGTGAATATATAAAGTAAAAGGGATGTTTTGAAATTTTATACATGTTTATATACTTTATTAAACTCTTTTATTTGGAAAAAGAGTGAAAATGTTAATTAAATGTCAAATATAAAAACAATTATATTGGCCCCTAAAATAATTTTCATCAGTTGCATCCTGGTTTAAATGTCAATATTGCAGATGGTGTCAGTCTCATGTAGTATTAAAAAGCCTGCCATCTATGATGTAATATAGTCAGGACTATATTAAATCACTGAGCATCATTAAAATTGGAACTTCACAGGAGGGCATAGCAAGGGTTGTGTACCAGAGAATATTAACAAGAAAACGGTTCAGGGAACCATCCTGATGAGCTTGGAAAGTTTTTATTTTTTTATTATTTTTTTTTAAACCTGACCATGCTCAGATTAAATCTTATATGTTGGATATTTGTGAGCATATTGAATGTCTGTGTTCCCACAGGGCAGATGAATTACGTTCACCATAGAGCACCTGCAGCCTCTTGTACATGTAGGTGAAGAAAATCTGATGTTCAAACAGAGCTGATAATGTGGTCTTATACAAGATATATAA